GATGACGACAGGAAGTGGTAGAACGATCTTTTCTTTTTTCTGGACAGCTCCACCAGAGCTCTCACGGCATCAAGCAGCTCATAAAAGGTTGTGAGCAAACATCATGTGTTGAATCCAGAGCTCTCCTGTAAGACCAATGACTACAATTTCTCCAAAATGTCAGCTGCACAGCCACTGACAAGTATAAGGGCTCTGTTGCTAAAACACCTGTATAAGACACCTTCATCTCCTCTGATGGCTGATGGATGAAGAGAATATGTAACTATCCACATCTATTACTGTCATGATTTTAAATGATTTATTGCATGAACAAGCTTATTCGTTCATGATTTCAATTTCATTTATTATTTGACACAAACACTGTAATTGCAATTGTGTTTTGTTTTTTGATCTCAGCAGAATATAAACAAAGAACTACACATATTTGTAATGGACACACAGCAAAAACACACTGAGGAGCAGCACTGCAGCACCCTAAGTTATCCAGTTATTATCCACAGTAATTTTAACCAGTCAAATAAACTGGCTACTCCAACAGCAAGAGCATTTCATTTATTCTCACCTTTCTTGACCTCTGCAAGAACATCATCCAGCACCGCATTGGCTGCAGCTGCAGCCCTCTTGGCCTCTCTGCTCTCCTGGTTGGCCTTGTCCTTCTGTTTCTTCTTACTGGTGCTGCTGGTCTGTTCTGAGCTGTTTTCCCTAGCGCCTCCTCGTTGTTGTGCCCCACTACGACGTCCCGCCGTCTCGATACCAGCTACTCGGTCCCCCCCGCTGCTGGCCATCTTCAGGCACTTAGCGCTAACCGGCCGCCCGTCGCCAGAATCACTACCGCTGCTGGGCTCGGAATCTGAGGTGTGTCTCTTCCTGCCTGGCCCGGCTATCTTGGCGACGATACTGGTATGAACTTTCCCACAACAGAATCAGGATGCTGGATGCGATGTGGGAACCTGCAGAACACAGAGGGTATTTCTGAAGCAAAATAACAATAACAAAGGAAAGCAAATATGAATGCTGTTTGCAAACTGTGGCACAATTAAAAGAACTTGAGAAAAAAAAACTGTAAGTTAACTTCTACTTGCATAGATCAGTAATGCTAAAAAGCATTAACCTCTAGACAGGAAGCCCCTTTGCAAACACACAGATGATGCTACAAGATATGTAAAGAAAAATAAACTTTTAGAATGTTTTTTTATTGGCTATCTAATTATTATTACATTCATTTAGCATAAATTCTGCCCCATTCTTTTTTATTTTAGTTGGCTATGAGTTCTATGGTAGAAAGTCTTATCAAATAATATATTGTGACTTTATCAACAGATAATACAGTTTTCCTTACAATCTCCTCTTCTGATGAGAAAACATTCAATGTTTATACTAGTAATCCATCTTTTTTTTTATTTTACTCACATCCTGTGGTTATTTACAGCAGAGTTGATCACACTGATAGCATACAGTGACTGACCGACAATCAGCTCTGAACTTTCAGTGCCTGTGTGTGTGTGTGTGTGTGTGTGTGTGTGTGTGTGTGTGTGTGTGTGTGTGTGTGTGTGTGTGTTCATATATTATAAAGTGCTTATTGTTTCAAACTGTGTTGGGTGTAAATTTTAATTTCAAGAGCTTACTTACCATTTTGAATCAGTTTGTATGCAGCAATACTTCCAAACCGTTACATTCTGCTTTGTGATCATAATATAGATTTAATTTATTTTGCTTGTTCCATAAGCACATCTTACCATGCTGTTTGTTCACTGATTTTTTTTCTGGATATTTACTGAGATTAAAATACACACAAAGATATTAATTATGCGACATAGGAGGGCAACTGACTGCGCTTGATGGTATTAAGGGCAACAAGTTGAATACAAACGCTGACCACAATTTTTAGATATGAAAAAAAAAATTATTTCAAAATTATGCATTAGTGTGTGTTGGCTTTTCACATCAAATAAATTGTGGTTGTAACATAACTTAAGACCAAATGGTGTGAATACCTTTGGACGGATCATTATGTTTGTAGTGTTGGATTTATATCGTTGAGGCTCCTGCTCTCATCCACTTTTAAATGTAATTTAATCGCTGAATGCATTTCTGAAGAATACATTCATTTCTGGACTTTTTATGTCAGTCATCTGACTTAGCAAATATTTTATAATGTATGTATGTTTTAGAACATCCAGGAATAAGTTAGTGTTTCAGGCATATAAATCTGGGGCGAAAAGAGTTAGAAGCTCCTTCACATACAAACATTAGGGTGATTCAAGCCAATTAGGAACAGGTTTCAAATGACAACGCTGAAGGGGAACACAGCCATTACAAAAGCCTGGCCTCTTTTCCTTAGCCTAATATAACATTCAGCAAGTGCCATATGATTAAAAAAGTAAATAATAAATAGAGCGACATAAATTTATAGGAGTTTTAGAGCGCATTTATTGAGATACGAACCCTGCTCATAAAAGCAAATGGCTTTATTAGACGACTCGCCCTTACAATTGGCAGCTCAGCAGCTGGTGAGCTAGCCACCGGAAAATAATAGCATTTAATGTCCTCACGTCTATTAAAAAGTGACATTGAACTACCACGACTGCGGTGTCCCAATGGACAACATTTAGTCACTAGACCTAACCAAAACGTACATGTGTAAACAAAGTTATTATTCACCGGTGCGCTAACTACTCCTTTTCGATAATTCCACTGTAAAGGTTGCACTGATCTGTTATCATTATTATTGCATCAAGTCCATGGCAGCTGCCAGTGCAAACAGTTCATCGGTGAACCTGATATGCAGCAGCATTTCTACCCGCAGAGAGCAGGAAAGGCTCAACGGCTAATGTCATTAGCAACATGCTAACTGTAACTGAAACGAAAGGGTTGACACGGCTACCAGATAATAAATAAACGCTTCCTGACATTTCGTGACATTAAGCTTCCGGGTGTTTTAAACCCTAATATTTCCTATCACAATGAAACTGAAGGCCTACTTACCTTTAACGTGGTTGTAGTTCCGCCTGAACTCACAATAGCGGGCGACTCCTTTAGCGCACTCTCCGGCTGCTGCTAAGCTTCTTCACGGCCTCGGGCTGCTGCGCTGTTTCTGGCCGGACTCGAAACCCCCGCAGTCTACGGTGTTTCTAGAATGTTCTACATCTAACCAGGACCCATTTCTGTCAAACTGACACGGCTTTTCCGATACTAAAGCAGAACACAATGTCCAAAATTGAACTTACTGCGTTTGTGTCATTGTCTTCGGCAGGCAGAACCGACTTTGTGGGAAGCAAAATATACTACTGCCTCAACAGACCTGAAATGACTGCCAGTCTGCGCTACTTCCTGAATAACACGCACACGTGATGTGAATACAGTCTCTCTCTCTCTTTATCTCTCTCTCTCTCTGTGTGTCTCGCTCAACTTGGGGTCCTGCGCGCGTGAGAGACCTTTACTTTACAGCTAACAAAAGTCTCAGTCATTGCTTTTAATTGACAACTCAACAGTTCAATTTGGCAAAGTAAACTTTACAAATAAAATACATCTATTAACGTAACTAACGTCATATATTTTCAGATCAACAGGAAAAAAAATGAATCGTTCAATTTTTGAGGAAAAATAAATAAATTTAAAATACACCCGGTAATTTGCCATTCCAGTTAAATTATGCAACCAAGGCCCCAGTGGAAATATCCTGCCTCAGCAGACTCGTTGACAGAAACATGGCCTCAGAAAACTCACACCTAATCAGGAGAGTGCTTGCATTAAAATCAAATGTTTTCAACGTGGCCGTATACGATTATGGGACTAGAGGACACAATGGGCAGGTTTTTACAAATGTGCAAAAAAACAAAAAAAATGTATACAATTGTTGTAAAACAAAAACAAAACAAAAAAGCCCCAAAACAAATGTGTGCTAATCTGTACGTCTCAAACAGATTATGAAGAGACAACTAATCCGTGAAAAAAAAAAAAAATCAAGCTCCCCTGGCTTCTTCCAGTGCTCTCAGTGATAACTAGACTCAAACAATAAAAAGCCAGGAGGGTCATAACACTGTCAATCACGCTTGCATACCTGCTACTTCGCAACAGCATCTTCCCAGAGTCTGCCAGGAATGATAAGGCAAGCTAGCATGGCCACCAGTGACAGTGAATAAACATCTTTTTCTGAAATAGTAAGTTATTTTTCTGCCTTTAACACATTTAGCAGTGTGTAGATGATTGACAGCGTTACGATGCTCCTCCCAGCTCCCATAGTTGTTTGTGATTGGGAATGGCACATGTCTGTAGACAGTAGTTGCAGCTCAGAGAGGAGGTGGAAGTGCTTGATCTTCTCAAGGCATGATGACTCTTCTAACAAGTATGTAAAAAAAAAAACCAAAAAAAAAAAAAAAAACACTGTTTATGCTGCAACTTTAACACTCCAAACATAGTGGATTTGCCTTATCTGTCATATAAAGTCCAAACGTAAAGTTCCAGAGCTATACATGGAACTTCTCTGTACTGAAGTAAAATATATTCTTATCTTTTAGCAAACTGACAGACCTGTCCAGAAAAGGAGTGGGCTCATACAGATATAGTCACATGAACAGGCGAGCTGACTCAGACTAGTTCCAGTTGGACATGAACTATTTTTAGAAAACAGCTTTGTCCCTTTTGCAGCTGGCCAATGAGGCCAACGTTATTCTTCGTTTATTAAAATAATGCAGTTTTGTGGCGAGTTAAAGTTTGCTCTAATGACTTTGCTTTAATCCCAGATACCTTCAGGTAAAGCTATTTAAAATGTTTCTGTATTTCCTCTTCTTTGCTGTTAATTTGAGCTTGCATGCTGACTGTCATTTCATCCTGCTGCCTGTGTGTTACCTTTCTAACACACATTTAATAAAAAGCTGACTCAGCTTTTCAGATGGGATGCTGCTGGCTGGAGGACTATGAGAGCAACACATGCATGTTAGACCAGCAAAAACAACCATCATGGAAGAATATTTATGCAGACAAAAAAAAAATCAGAAATGACATCATATTCATCTTTATTCAGAAAACTGTAAAACTTAACAAGGTACCTTTGGTGTTTCCATTGCCAATGACCAGTCATTGTTACTGAAATATGTAAAAAAAAAAAAAAAAAGTATTTGTGCACTAGTCACATTTTGCAAAACTCAAACTCACATGCACAATGCCAATGTATATATCTCCACAATACTGACAGCATAAGGCACTATTAAAACCAGTATTTCACTTCTTTAACTTCGGTAGAGATCAGTGACTGCAGGTCCAGCTTGTTCCGTCACAAAATACTGTATGTGAGAAACATTCAGTGTCTCAACAGTGTCTAGTGGGGTTGGCCTTTTTTTCTCTTTAAATTCCAGGTTATTTTAAAAACAGCTTCAACCTTTATACTTAAGGGTCACATACTCCATTATATTATGTAAATGTTCTATCTGATGTTACGTTTGCAAACATTTTTAAACAATGTCAGGTTGATGTTGACCATATTCCATCCATCCATTGCTTAGCGACAGGCGAGTCCACCCTGAACAAGTCACCTGTCCGTTGCAGGAAAACACAGAAACACACAAGACAACCATACACACACACACACACACACACACACACACCCCCACACACTCACAATTCAACAGTCATGTTTTTTCAGAGTGGGAGGAAACCGTAGAGAACTTACAAATGAACAGGCAGATTATGCAAAAGACACCAGGCTGGGATTTGAACCCAGGACCTTTTTGGTGCAAGGTAACAGTGCTACCAACTACTCCACTGTCCAGCCTGCTAACCACATTTTTAATTCTGTACACTTCAACCTTCCAGCACAAGTCTGACTTTTGTCATCTACAGAAATACTGAGATGACTGAGGTTGTTGGGAGTATCAGAGATGGACAAGAAGCTGAGTACAGAGATGTGCTGGACCGCTTTGTGGCATGGTGTGGGAACAATCATCTCATCTTAAACAAAACAAAGGAGATGATTGTTGATTTCATGAGGAACAAGATCGAGTTAGATTCTATTTCCATCATGGAAGAAGAAGTGGAGGTAAAGGAATATAAATACCTCAGTGATCACCTGGACAACAGACTGGACTGGAGATGCAACAGCCGTCTATACGAAGAGACAGTAGACTGGACATCTTGAGGACGCCAACACCCTTCAAGATTTGCAGCACGATGCTGCAGATCTTCTACAAGTCTGTTGTTGAGAGCATAATTTCTTCTCCCATCAACTGTTGGGGCAGCAGCATCAGAACCAGGGACCTAAAAAGGCTCAAGAGCCTGATAAAGAAACCTGGTTCTGTTCTGGGGTGAAACCTCTGAAGATTATTATGCAAAGAAGGATTCTTCACAGGATCAAGAAAATTATGAATAACTCTGACCATCCTTTTCATGATACTGTCTTGGCAAGGCAGAGCAGCTTCAGTCAGAGGCTTCTTCAGATTAGTGCAGTACAGACTGCTGCAGAAGATCTTTCCTGCCAACATCCATCACTACCTTCAATAACTCTTGGAAGAATCAAAATTAATGAGTTATAACAACATTTATTAATCCCAAAGGGAAATTAAAGTATTTCTGAAATAAATGGAATTGAATATTTGTTGTTTTAAATCTGTTTTCATTTAAATTTATCCTGTGTGTTTTTATCCTGTTTGTTGAAATACTGGAAAGCTATTCCAATGACCATTGTGTGTTGCCAACAATGTTTTATATAAATGACCACCACTAGGTCTCTAAACAGTTTTAACTACACTGTCTTTTTTAGGTTCATTGTCACCAGTGAATAATTCCATTAATTCATCTCAAAAGTAGTGTGCTGTGCAGAATTTTTTGCATTATTCGAATTTTAATCATGATGAAAATAAAATCTTATTTTCCGTAGCAGAAACATAGTGCTGAGCTCAGCTCAGAATACACTTCCAACTTCCGCTCAACCTCACACTGAAAGAATGTATTACAAATTTAACTTGTACTTCCAGTCTAATTATTTAGTGAGAAAATAATGCCATGTGAAGAAAAAATCTGATTAAATAGCTCACATGGTTTCTGGAGGATTGTGGCCTTGGATGTTTATGGAAAATGGATTTTGGATCCTGTGCTCCATTTCTGTGTTGGTTCGGCCAAATATAGATAATTAGCCTTCTGGAAGTCCCAATGTGAAACTGTTTTCAGTGTACTGGAGGAGTTGACCTGATTTTTATTTAAGATTTTTTAGCCATTTCCATGGGTTTGATGATGTAATGCACCAATGGAGCAGGTCCACAGCATCATAGCTCTTTGCAGCCAAATTGTTGTTATGGTGATTCAAAGATACCACTTTTAGTTCTATAGTGAACTCTGGAATAATACATGTTGGTTGTGAAAACTTAAATGCAAACATTCAAAGTTGTGTTTCAGATTCAAAGCAATTAATAACCACAAGCTACATGTGAATAAAATATGTGCTCATTGACAAACTTTAACATACGTAGCCATTATTATGTTTTTTTTAAATGTAAGAATTATCCATTTCCATTTCAATGGAAAACACTAACTGGGTTCACCACATGGACACTGGCTAGTAGAGTGATTTATTTTCCCCTGAAAGCCTATCACCATGTCTCTATATATCTAACGTAAATCGTAAACTAACAGTAGTGGACGTCTTTCCTTGCGGTTTTGAAGGGGCTTGTTTACTGGCACGTGTTGTAGATCTGGATCTGTTTGTTTATGTCGTTGAGGATGCTCCTCATCTTGTCCTCCAACCCGTCCAGCTGCCGGACTTTCCCCTCCAGCTTCCTCTGGTTCTCCTCATAGTTTTTCTCCAGCTCTGGACCAACCATAAAGAAGAAAAACAATTTTAACCTTAACATGACACTTTAAATCAACTATACGCTCCATTTTCTTCTTGAAATGCAGGCAAATCTTCGACAGCAAAGTAGCACCTGCTAGTTTTTGTAGCTTGTTCTGAGCATCGTTGAGGAGCTCCTTGGCTTCCTCTCGGAGACTCTCTGCCTTCTTCTTGGCGTCCCGCACGACCTTGGCCTTAGTGTCCACTCGTTGTTGTACCTCGTTGAATTTGTCTGTCAGCTGGCCGTCTAGAATCTGTGCATAATGTGGATCGTTTAATAGAATAAAATAGAACAGAACATATTTTATTTATTCCCAAGGGGACAGAGGTTATTTGTTGGCAAGCTACTCCATCCAAGATGTTAAATATTGGTAAGTACAATATTTACCAATGTTTAACAATGTCTGGCTCGACTGAAGGAACGGAATGTGGAAGTTATGGGGAAGGAACCTTGGAAGCTCGGAAACTGCAGGTCAGAGAAGGAGGCGGCGCTAAGTCCAACCCGGTGTTTGCACAACTGAATGGTTTCCATGTTAGATTCAATGATTTCTCAAACATCCATTAAAGAATCAAGGCTTCTCTCCAAGTATGTCTTTGATGAGGGAATGACATTATAACATGATATGAAGCTCAAAAAGGTTGATTTTATGTAAATCTGCCCCTTTAAATGATACTAAGAGTGTCCAGTCAGACACATACCTGCTTGGCTTCATTTGCCTTGTCCCGAGCCATGGTGGCCGTCTCTTCAGCTCGGGCTGCGGCCATGCTGTTGTTGGCTCGCTTGGTCTTCAGCACATTGATCTCCTGTTCCAGTGTGTCAAGGCGACCCATTGCATCATCCAGGTTCTTCTCACTGTTGGAGGTTTCTGTCTCAATCTGTGTAGAATACGAGTTTGCAAATGATAATTTAATCACACACAATTTGGCTCTAAAGGAGTTCACCTGGCTGAATCATTGTTGACATACTATGGACACTGTTTTCTTTTAAAAATACTGAAAATCACTGGTGACCACCAGGGGGCAGCAACCATCAAAAAGTAATAATATGGCAATAGAAAGATATACTTTCATACTTACATTTAAAAACTTAAAGTGCTGATCCATGTGTGAAAAGCATTAAAACAAATATATATATATATATATATATATATATATATATATATATATATATATATATATATATATATATATATATATATATATAAAATTAAAGTAGCATTATTTCATGGTAAAAATTAAGAAATAATCAACCTTTAATTAGTTAAGAAACGTTAGAAGTACTCTGCCACCCAAACAAGTAGAATCATTGATACTATTAAGAATCACTTCAAAATATATTTTGGTTGGCAACTGAATCAATGAAGATGGATAACAGTGGAAAAAACAGATTTCCTGAAATGTGAAGTTATTTCTCCGCCATTAGTATTTTAGAAATGTAGATGCGTTCCTAAATGTAGGTACATTTAGAAAAGTACTAATATGGTGCAGCCCTTTTAGAGATCTAAGATGAAGCATGCTTTACAGTTTGTAATTTGTTCCTGGGTGTTTAAACTGATTATATAAGTTAAACTGAGAAATACACAGTGTATAGACTGATTCAAAAATATTGTCTAGACCTGTCTTTGAAGGCATCTTCGGTAATCATGACTGATCTGATTATGAGGCAGTGACCTTAGGAAATGAAAGGCTTATCTGCAGAATAACCAAATGTTATCAGTTTAAATTTGCTCTTTACAGCAGCAACCAGTTTGTATTTCTCTTCAAGACTCTGAATCTAATGGCAAAACTACTGGAATAAAATGTAACTTTATGTATATATATGTCTTAATTGACAGCATTAAGACCTTCCTCCTGGCTCTGATTGGTTGTTTTTGACCGGCCAGTACATTTCTTCAGACAGAGTTGGTAGCACTTGGAGGATGTGAAGGACATTTATCTTTTCACGGATTTTCTGTCCCATACTGTCACAACATGGTATCACTTAACAAATATTTAAAAATACTTTTTAAATAGAAGTTACATATCACAGCTTTCTGTCTTTATTTCTTTTTAAAATATCTTTATCTAGAATCCAATAAATGCTGAGCAGCTCTGATGAACATTTTGTTCTATAAAATTAACATGAGATGCATATTAAAAATCCTCCATGCCTGTCATTTCTTCCTCATTTCAAACAGAACCAAGACGACGCTGACCTCAGCCAGTCGATTCTCAGTGTCTCTGATGTCTGCCCTGGCATTCGCTATGGCTTTCTCAGCTGAAGTCTGGGCTGTCATAGCACCCACCAAGGCCTGCTTCACCGTCTCCGCTGTGCTTTTCAACCCCTCAGCACGATGCCTTCAAAGGAAACAAGGAACAAATGTCAGTAAATTAGCTCATTTATTTAAAATAAAACTTCGCCTCAAAAAACCAATCTGACTCAGTTATGACTACCTTGCCCTCTTGGCATCCAGCAGCAGTTTCTCTGCTTTCTGAACGTCATCCTGTGTCTGCTGCAGGATGGCGTCCACGTTGGACAGGCTGCGGACGCGGTCCTTGATCTCGTCGGCGAGTTGCCTGATCTGTAGCGGTGAGGCGGGGATGGAGAGCTGCAGCACGTGGTTCGCCACCGCCTCGATGCTGTCTGGATCGGCGCCCTCCTCTGTAAAGAGATCATGGAGTCAGGGCTAAGCACAGGAGGCTGCACTAACAGCGACTGCCGTTATTCAGCAAGCGTGGACTCTTATCGAAGACTGACGAGTGAGGAAGTCCCTGATCTGTTTGATCAGGTCTCTGAGGTTGTTGTTGGAGCGCTCCACTTTGCTCTTTGTGGCCTTCGCTTTATCCAGAGCAGCTTGGGCTTTACCCTTCGCCTCCTCTGCCTTGGCCTTAGCTTCCTTTACCTGCACAACAGACAGGCAAGTAATTCATAGTCCTATAGGCAGCAATAACATTTCACAAATATTACAAGAATAGAAATTCTTGTTGACAAAGCAAACTTCAGATTTTCTGAATGAAAAAAACTTTCCAAAAATATAAATGTGGACATTTTAGGATACAGTACCTTTCAAAAGTATTGATAATGGTTGAACTTTTTTATATTCCGTCATAGCTGTGGGTATTTTTCATATCATTTATCATTATAAATGTCTTAGAAGGATTAAAAAAAAAATCAGATTTATTGTTGTCATGATAAATTCCAAACAGTGAGATTTAAAACCCTCCAAAACTTCTCAGAATTGTTTGTTTCACAAAACAAAAACAAAAACAAAATTTTTTGACCCGAAAAGGAAATGAAATGCTGCCACTCATATGATTTAAGATATTGTAGCACACCTGAAGAAGCCTCTGACTGTAGACAATCTTGTTCAAAGACAGTATCATGAAGTGCCTAATTTTCTTGATTTTATGAAGAATCCTTCTATAGAATAGTCCCTGAAACAGAACTGGCCTTTTTTATTACATTTTTAGCCCTTTTTAAATATCTGGCTCTGATTCAGTACCTGAAACAAGTGTTTTTCAATCTTGTGCTGTACATTAGAGAGCTCTAGTGAACAAAACGCCTGACTCGTGACAATAATCAAATCATGAGATTTATGATCTCAACTCATTGACTGAACAGCATTTATCTCTCTTTTTTTTTGTTGCCTTTTTTGGTGGCAAGAAGAATTTTGAAATGAAGCTCTTTGAAAACCAGTTTGCAGTTAAGCACTAGCAGCAAATGTGTAGAAAGAGATTAACTCATTTATATCACCAAACCTGACAGGCAGTAAACTAACCCTACACATTGTCATTACTGCAAAACACACTGATGGCAGCTAGATGCTGTGGGGACAAAGAGGAGTGACACAGCTACAAACATGGCAACCCACACCAAAAAACTTAGAAACTGTAAACTGTAAATTCCTGGCAGAAGTTTACCTTACCCCAAAGGCTTGGAGCTGTTAATGCTATGAAAGGAAAGTGAATACTAATTTTTCAGATTTTTATTTAATACCAGGAATCATTTTCCTTCCACAACAGTTATGACAACATTTCCAACGATCTGTAAATCTTTTTGTGCTGGATTAGGGGTCTGCAACCTGAAAGTGGCTCTTTGGACCTTACTTACTGGCTCTTGATATTTGGCAAAAAAAAAGTTCAGACAATATACATATTAAAAAAATGCAGATTTTAGCTGGGGACTTTTTGTGTTTTATTTTGCATAAAATAAATCCTGCATAGATTTTTTTCAACAGAATGACACAGGAATCACCAATATTTATAAATTTTGTTCTCACTCATTATGTTGTAAACTTAGTGTATTTTATTTACATAATTTTCCACATTCCAGAAAATAAATCAATAAACTTTTTGTAATTTTTAAAAAAAAGTTTTTCTTTGTTTTCAAACCAAAAAACAAATAAAAAAGTGGTTCTTTAAAATGACCACAGACTTAAGCTAACATCCAACATACAGTATGTGGCCTGAAGTCAGTTGTATGTAGCTGGACTGAGAGTGAAATCTTCTGGTTGGTACAGGTTGCCTATCATGTGCTAGCCTCTATGTTTGCTCCATATGTAGTCTTACCTTGGTGAAGAGTTCCTGCATCTCCCCCATGGCTTTGTTCAGCTCCTTCTCTGCATGTTTGCCTCGCTCCAAAGCATTGTCAGCTGCAGCCACTGCTCCGTTGCAGTTCAGGCCTCCGCAGTGGCGGTTCCCTTCGTCGTCACGGCAGCCACTTCCTCCACAGGGGTTCTCCGTGCAGGGAACATCGTCTAGAGAACCACAGATCTGTCGCCGCAAAGAGAGAATATTAGCAGAGCTTCAAAGCTGAAGCAAAAACAGAATACATTTGAACTTTCCTCACTTTTATGCAACTTTAAAAGTGTTATATATGCTTGTTGTAGGAACATTTTTTACTGGATGATAAATTCTCCCAGAAATATTGTGATAAACAATGTTGTTTTGAGACAATTTTCAACAAATATAGTCATAATAATGCCAGTTCACTCTCTCAAACACCAATTAACTTTAATTTTTGCGGGGAACAAATTAACACTGGAACTGTTACATATTTTAAATATCCAAAACGAAACACCAACCAAAACATGAAATGGAAATAAAAGCCACAAACAAAAGAAACCATAAATAAAATGTTTGTTTTTTTCGTGTTTTTGTAAAGAAAATTGCCCTGAAAAATATAATAATCAGAATAAATTATTGAGCTCATTTCAATAAAGTCTATTGTGTCAGGCTTACCGTAATGTAAAATATTCTCCAAATTTTCATTTTAGTTAGAATTACTTAGGAATCCAAGAGACCAAATAAAACTACTTTATGTCAGTGCAATTTATTGGCTGATCACTGATCTTTAAAAAACTTCACCTGCCGATTCAGAGTTTGGTCGACACCAATTTTTTGATTGCTGAACTGGTAAAGATGGATTGACTGCAGACGTGACCTGGTGGGCGGGTCCGTCAGTCATCCCTCTCTCATGGCGGAGAGAAATAAGACAGTGGCTGAGATTTGATAAGATCAGTTGGCAATTTCCGATCACCAAAGAATGAAGGAATTCGGGCCGATTTATCAGTGCATGGGTTTAAAAAACATCTTGTGGTGTCAAAAATTTTAAATCAGTGCTTCAAAGAACGAAGCGATGGACCCAACCTTCTCATTGAGCATTTTCATGTCCAGACCCTGGGCTCGGGCCTTCAGCTCCCCCAGCGCCCGCTTGTTTGCTGCGTTCTTCCGGTTGAAGTCGTCCTTCTTCGCAGCAACGAGGCGTTCGGTGCGGCGGCGAGTGTCTGCCGACTGACTGACCGTGCTAGGCTTGGTGGTGGTTGACCGGTTGGCCTGTCGCTCAGCATCTCGAGACATGTTGTAGGAACTCCGGATGCTGTCATACGCTCCTGGAGGAAGAAAAAGGATCAGATCATTTGGGGTATGTTAGATGAAACAACAGCTTTGTCTGAGCTTTGCTTCATCCCACCTAAGAAGTTTGAGTTTTTCAGCATATTCAGTTGATGCTTTAGCTGCTCAGATGTGAGATTCAGTTCTCGAGCCTCCCGCTCCAGATTATTCAGCTCCTTGCTTGCGTCAGAGTTTCGGTCCTGGATGATTGTTAAATCTCCCTCCACATGGTTCAGGGCTTCGGTTGTCTCACCAATTTGTGCCCTTTGATAAACAACAAGGTTGAGTAATATTAGAGGAGTTTTTTTATGCTTATGATATATGAGCACTTATGAATGACAACTTTCTTTATCTTTACATTGATTATTTATGCTGTGACAGAGAGAAGGATGTTTTAAGAAACAATGTTCTTCAGTGTATCAGTGTGTGTTACAAGCTACACATATGAGCCAGTTTTAAAAAGTTTAACTGATTGGAAAATACAACGATGTGTTTGGGCCACTGTAGATTGATAAAAAAGAGAAGGAATACATTTCCACAAAGAAAAAAAACTCTGAAATTGTCTAAAAAAAGGAACTTTCTGAGCTCCAAATGTTGAAAAATGTTGACTTTGAAAAGTAAAAAATTTGCAAGAAGTAAAAGAAAATTTGAGAATTTCAGAAATCCTCTAAAAAAACCTGGAAATTTCCAAATGTTATCTTTTATTGTCTGTCAAAAATAAATAAATGAAATTGTATTGGTGTGAAGCAGAAGTACCTGAGGTCCTCAATAAGAGCCATCAGAGTAGCCACAGCTGCAGTTGTGGCATTTCTTGCATTGACGATGGCCTGAGCTTGAGCCAGTTTTGCCTCCAGGTCTTTGAAGGTTTTCTCATAAGGTCCGATGAGCCCAGTGCTTTGAATCTCATTGGCTCGCTCCGCCAGAGTCTTGGTGCGTACCGCCAGGTCCTGATGATAAGAGTGAAAACAATAATTTCTCACATTTAATTACAATTTGTTTGAGGATTAACTCCTTTGTTTTTCACTCAGAGCTGCACCTGCACTATCCGATCCCAGTCCCCGAAGCACTGGTGACAGGGCTGGCAGTTCGGAAACTGGCCGGCAAAACCTCTGGCACACTGGTCGCAGCGAACGCCTGACACCCCCTGCCGGCAGACGCAGTGGCCGGTTGCGCGGTTGCACTGAGACGTCTCAATCCCACGCCAGTCACAGTCGCACGCTACAGAGGGAAAACACAAGAGGACGAGGGCAAGGGCTGCTTAATATTAAAGAAATATATAAATGGGAATTATATTGGTCTGTTTTTATCTTCTGATCTATGTTTCCTACTTGGCCTGTTGCAATAAACAATAAATCAATTAATCACATGAAAAAACAAGCTCAGTAATTTATTGCATTTTCTTTCTCTTTCTACCTGAAACTGGATGATAAAAGTCTTCAGCCTGGTGCTTTGGTCTCAACTAGCCATTTTTTGAAGAACAATTTGATTTACTGGGACTTCATAATTTATTTTATTTGTTTCTTTGTTTATTTATCTTTGATATTTTAAATGTCTTCCAATTCCAGTGTGAAATGTTCATTAGAATTTAAAGTCTAGTGGCTCTTGAGAATCTGTTCTTGCATTATTGTGCCATTAAAATTATATTGCTTGAAAATTGTCTCAAAACAACAAGATTATCGCTTATCGTAATAACTTCTGGGACAATTTATTGTCCGGCAAAAATGTTGTATTGTGACAAGCTTTTGTCCTGCAATATGCCTTTAACATTTTTGGCCATGTCAATTATGTCTACTGGCTAAATATAGCACTAGCATGAAAAATATAACTTTGGAGCGCTTAAAGTTTATTAGCCAAGAATTACTGCATTCCAATATAATATTGTCCTTTACAATATGATTATTGCACACACACACCCTGACAATGCAGTTGTACTGTCAAGTACTAGTGAATGGTAATGGCAAAGATTATTTAACCCTCTCCAGGCAGGTGTTGCAGATTTGCAACAACTTAGCCAGTCTTTTCAAGTAATTTCAACACAATGAATAAAAGATATCACAATATTGTAATATTTACATTTGCATTCTGTTACAGGGCTCTCAAAATCCATAATTTATTAGATTAATCATAATGAATTGATTATTGGAAACTAATTTAGTAATCAAATAATCATTAATCGACGCTAAAACATGCAGTTTCAACACCGGCAATGACATTTACGTTTATTTTCTTATTTTAAAAAGTAATTGAATTATTTGTATATTTGAGATTTTTATGCATTTTTTCAATATTAGCGGTTGAATAAAACATCTGCAGAATGTGCTAAAATACCGAGTTGCAGCTCTGACTATGTGTACTAAGACACTGAATCGTTACGTTTCTGACCTCTGCACAGCGTCCGGGGGTCTCCCCAGAAGTTCTCCTCACATTCTGTGCAGGTCTTTCCTCCAAACCCTTCTCGGCACTGACACTGCCCTGTAAACTGTGGGACAGAAAGCAAAAGAAATACAACTTATTAGGACTTTAAACTTACTTTAAATTTCCTTTCAGATCAAAGGATCTCTGTCCATATCTTTTCTTGGCTTCCATAAACACCTTAATGCTAAAATAATTCTCACTTAGCGCTTTAATGCCCATAGCTATATCACTCACAGGCTGCTTCTTGACAAATCCAGAAATGCATTCATGCTTTTTTTTAACTATTTAAAGCAAAGTTGCACCGATTGTCATTTTCTGGCCGATCAATGATCTTCAAAAAGCCTGATGTGCTGATTCTAATTTTGGTTGATAACGATGTTTTAGTCTGGAAAGTCGCTATATATATTGAGAAAGGAAACAGTGGGGTGACTATTGTTAACTGAGTATTTCAGACAATGTGCAGCTGAGTCCAACAAAGCACTCACAACATCACGGAGTTCATAAAAAGTTATGTTATTCCCATGTGTTCAATCTATAGTTCATCTGTAATATCAGACTTCAAAACCTCAAACACAGAACACTTTGCAATCCCAAGAATGAGGGTCTTGTCGCTCCAATGCCTGACTAAGACTCTGATGACTGACAGATGAGGAGCGCTAGCGCCTTTATTGAATTATGAATATAGTCTCATGTAACTGTTTACATTCATCATTGCCATTATTTGTAATGATTTATCACATGAACAGCTTATTCACATGTGATTTTATTTCATGAAAGCATCACAATAGTTAAATTGTATTTTTTCAACATTAACAGAATATAGGCAAAAAAGTGCACACATTTATAATGACAGTGGCAGATTCCAGTCATTTTCAGTGCTGGATAAGATTGATTTTGCATGCAAGCATCAGCCGTGATTTCTCAGTGCTTCCCAAATTTGAAGAGTTTACACTTTTTTTTTTATCCTTTATCTTATATGTGGCATACATCCAATGTCAAGCAACAGGAACTTCCACAGCACAGTGCTGAGCTCCATGCCTAACTTACTTCATTGCAGGAGGATGTGACAGAGTTGTTGGGATCACAGTTGCATGCTTCACAGCCATTCCCACTGGCCAGGTTCCAGTGGTTGGGGGCGCAGTGGTCGCACGCCAGACCTACGACATTTCTCAGACACTGACACTGGCCTGTGGCACGTTGGCAAACGCAGTCTTCACGCTCCATGCACTGGCTGCGCTCCGTGCCCAAAAAGTTGCATATGCACTCTGAACAAGAAAAACACAGTCTGACCATAAAGCAATCTATTGTCTTTTATGTTTTATGTTTTAGAAAACTGTTACAAACTCCTGCAGTTGCGTCGAGACGCATCTCCAAAGTATCCGCTCCTGCAGATGCCACAGTTAGGGCCCTCTGTGTTGTAAAGGCACTTCCTGCACTCCCCCGTCCGCCTGTCACATGCGTCCATGTCTGACATGTCTATGTTATTGTTGCACTGGCATGGCTGGCAGCGTCCTCCCGGCTGAGAGGGGTTGCCATAGTAACCTGGAGCGCATTCTTCACACCGGGCGCCTGAGTTGAACAGGAGGAGGAGCAAACAAATTTCACTGAAAGGTGCACTTAAGGATTTCTCAACTTGATTTTAGGGTGGATGGAATGGGGGAGAAGCAGGGATGTTGTTAAATTTGCAGCAGAAATGGGTCATTTTAGTTTAACTGTGTTTTTTTTCCTAATATTAAATTAAGACTAAATAGTTATAGTCAGCCATTTCCTTCTCAAAAAACAAGTTTTAAAAGGATGGAGATAAACATATATGGAAAGTTGTGTCACCAGCATCAGCTTTAGTTACTCATAGCTAAACATATCATAGTGAGGAGGATGCAGTGCCTTTAAAAAGTATTTGGATATTTTCCTGTTTTGATGCTTTTACAAATCAAACATTATCAAAAACTACCTTTTTTTTTTTCCAAAAATTTACACTACTAATGACAAACTAATGACAAATAAAAATGATCATCCTCAGAGTAATCATAGATTGTTTTGTTATGTATTTTTAAACTGACAAGTTTCAGCAGATTGCATCTCCCATTCTGTTGTCATGGAATGTGATTTTATGTTAAAATTATATAAAACCGCATGATCTTGTTTTTGAATTAAAACGGAACGTTTTTTTTAGTAATTGCTCTTTTACGCAACCATTATGACTTTATCTCAGCTTCTGGTTTATATAGCTACCACTCACAGTAGAATGGTTAAAATTCAGATTTGGAAACATCTTCAATAAACTCTAAATTGACTATGGGCATGTTAAAGATTGCAAAAAACAGAGATCAGAGCTCAGCCACAAAAGTTGTCATTTTTTAAATTAATTTATAAATTTTAACTTAATTGTATGACATTGGTATTTTCCTTCATCTAACATTTTAACAGTGAACAACCACAAAACAAGGACTAAAATGCTTTTTAAAATGACATCATTCAGTCGTGCATCAACTGCTTAGCAAGACAATGAACCAGACTGAGGAACAGCCAGTTTTATTGACTGTAGAAAGATTCTGGGTCAGGTCTCTGTTTGATGAATATTTACACTGACCTGGCTCAAATTTGGTTTTTGCATCATTTAATCTGCGTTTGTTACCTTAAGTGCAAACATCACAACACAGCCAGTGAGAGAAAACACTGAACAATTTTTTTGAACCAGGTCTCACATGGAAGTGTGTTGTAGCACAACGGTGCTGATGGGTTCATGCATGGGTAGGACTGGTGGGGAGGATAGTACGCTCGGTGGATTAAAAGAAAAAAATATAAAATAAAAAATACGGGAGAGGGTAGCAGGAATTGGAGGGGGCCAACTGTCATTACTCACGCTTAAAAACGGTCGCCCCGGAGCGTTTAACAATCCCTGTGCCAGTAGTACAGGAGGAAGGAAATGAAAACCATTACCATTCACTAAAGCCCACACAGAAACACTAATGTTGTTACCTCACTGGAACTTTTTTCCTTCACAAAAAGTGCTTGAAAATTGCTTGGCCCTTATAGATCTGCTCTGGTTCTGCTTTTTTGCAATACTAAAATGTTTCAGATTATCAAGCTGATTTTAACATCAGGCAAAGAAGATTACAAAAAGCAGGGCTTAAAGTTAGGGTTAGAAGAATATCCAGCTGTCAGGTTGTGACTGAGATCTCAACTGCACTGAGCTTATACAGCAGCAGCAAATCCTGTTTCATTGCATTAAATTGATTAAATCAATTTAATTTCCATCTATTCACACTTTCATCATTGCAACTTTTACTTATTTGATGCTCACCTGTGTAACCTTGGTTACAGTTGCAGATAATTTGTCGATTGCGGTTGTCCTGGTAACAAGATGTGGCAAAGTGGCGTCCACTGTGGGGTCCGTCTGGGCATGGGCACGGGCGACACTGACCACCAGATGATATACCCAAAACTGGGTTCCCATAATAACCATTGGCACACCTACAGGAACACAAGTAAATTTAATAGAACTTTTAATGTAAAGTTAAAAAAAATAAAAATCATGGATCATAGGATATGTAGGTTTCCTAAAACTACAAGGCTACACTTATATTCACAGTGAGTTAAACACATATCATTTTAACTGATACAGAAAAATTAAATGAAATTATATCTGAATTATTCTGGCAGGATTTAGGAACTGTTCACATAAATAAAAATTTTGAATGAACATTTTGTTTTTTTAAGTGAAAAAAGGATTCCTTTGACCTGATTACAGGAGACGCAAGAAACTCATTCAAAGAAAATGAGAAAAGAGTTTAGCCACAACTGAAGTTAGTTCAAAATGATCCCTGGCTCTGTAGGTGGTGTACATAAAATCTTACTGCATTGCATAATTCAATGCCTCATTTAATTCGTTCCAATAAAGTTTTGACCAAACGTATCTGGAAAGCCACCTGTCACAACTGTCCCCTCCAGTGTTATCTCTGCAGTTGATGCAGACTCCGCTTCTCTGGTCACAGTGGTTGGCATGTCCGTTACAGTGGCAGGGTCGGCAGCTGGGGAAGCCCCAATGGCCCGCCTGACACCCGTCGCATCTCTGACCAAAGGCCCCAGGACGGCACTGGCACTGCCCGGTGTACTTGTCACAGAGTCGAGTCACAGACCCCTCTAAGCTGCACTCACATGCTGCCGAGACAAAGCATAGGATGTGGGGCCAGGAGCAGTAGATTGGGTGGGGGGGAAAGAAGGAAAGGCAGGGAAGAGAGGTTTCTTTTATAAATATTTACTTAGAAACAGTAGAGGGCGCCAACCATAAGCCTTTCAACTTTCTAAATACACATTAAATCCTATGCAAAGATTTAACATATTACATTGTCTTGAAAATGAATTTATACCCATTAAAATTTTCACATTTCACCACGTTTCAAACATAAACTACAACATATTTTATTGGATCTTAACTGAAAAGAGTAACAGACTAAACATAAGTTATGATGTAGAAGGAAAATTATATAATTTGTGAGATTAAATCCTGAAAAGTGTGCAGTGCATTTGGATTTGCCTCCAACCAGTGACTCAGTACTGTTACTTCTACCATTTTTCCTGTGATTACAGCTATAAACCTTTTTGGGAATGTCCAGTTTTGTAATGTCGACAACTAAAATAAAATATTTCTGCTAATTCTGACTTGTAAAATATCTCAAACTGTGTCTAAACAGAAGGAAAGCATCTGAACAATAATTTTCATGCCCAGGTGATGCTCTGGTTTTCTCTAACAGGATTTTGTCTGACTTTCTTTTCACCATCCCTTTCTTCTCGACATTCTTCCATAAAGACAGAATTGTGAAGTGCATGACTTACAGTTGTCAACAAATTCACATATTTATAGACCAAAGGATATACAAAACATGGATATTGCTTTCTAACTTTGAGAAAATTCACTACATTCTTAATCTTAAAGTTAATTAAAAGCCCTGTCGAGGAATCAAGGAAGAAGACATTGTGTGACTTCATGCGAGTTCCTCACATATGCAGCCTGAGGGTCCGAAGCCATAGGTTCCTGGTGCACACTTGTCACAGCGCCGACCAATGATGTTGGACCTGCAGCGACACTGGCCCCCACGGGGATCACAAAGGGAGCTGATAGACCCCTGAGGGTCACAGTTGCAAGCTGATGGAGCGAAAACATGAGCATGAGCAAAAACAAGATATGCATACTTGCCAAAGTTGAAATATATACATGTATATTTATAAGTGTATATTACGGTTGCCAAAGTTAACGGGTTAGTCACACACCATTAACGTTTTTACTGTGAAATTATTACACAGGTTTCTGTACTTTCTGGATCTTGTCTCTACAGTTTGAACTTTATCTTCTTTGTTTCAGCTGTTTCTTTAACGGGCTGATCTCTTGTTTCTTGAAAAAATGTCCCTCTCTCTCTCCCCTCCAGCCTACCTCTCCTGTTACTCAGCATTGTCTGACATTCTACTTCTGAGAGGGAGGGAAACAGGAATAACCTGGAATTATTTTACTTTTGCAGACAAAAACAAAATTTATCATTATTTTGCATGCAGTGATTCACTACTGAAGCAAAATTAACTTGCATAAACAAATAAAAACCTGAAAAACTATAATACAAAAGACATGAAAAATAACTCCATCTTCAGCCTTTTACATCTGTCTGTTTCAAAACAATTTACTTTTAACTGAATTTAACTGAATGTAAAACATTTGCAGACCTTTGGTTCTAATAAGCTCCTCTTAATGAATCTTCCTCAGGAAAACAAAACTTGTCATGTTTATATGGGTCAGTTTCCCCTATATAGTCAGATTTTTTCTGTTATTTTTAGAAGTTAGCAAACAAATCAAATGGAAAACTTCACAAAAATAAGTTTTATTCTAACAGCACCTTAGAAGATGAGTCCTACTATTACACTCCGCACTGTTACATTTCATGCATTGCACTTTATTTGTTTCCCTTTTGTAATCCCACTTAAAATCCATTCCCTTTTAAAATTTACCTTCATGACAGGTAACACATAGTTATCTTGTGTATGTATATTTCCTCACCCAGGGCTCCATCATTAATTACGGCTGACATGCTGCTGATGAGTTTAGCACAGGTATCACTGATTTGTGGGCGGATCACACTCCTTGCTCCCTCGTGGCACCGGTACCGCTCAAAGGTCTGCTTCCTGACGTTTGAGGCAAGATCTCCAGTGTTGAACATCTCCATGGAGGAGTGACGTGGCATCAGCACAATCTGGAGCGGAGACAGCTATTACAGATTTCCCCAGAGACTAGAACTGCAGATCTAAATACGCAATTTAATCTCACAGAGTCTATAAGGATGACAGCGTGGTCTGCTCCGTTGAGGATACTGTTAGCATCTTGATAACGTGTGAACTCCAAGCGGAGGGAGTATGTCACACCTCTCTCCAAACACACTGGCTGAGGAAGAACCACAAACCTTGGGAAGACAGAGGTAGCACTCAGTTCCCATCAACACTGAAAGAGAAGCTCACAAGTGTTGGTGCTTGGATGGGAATATACAAGTGTGTAAAGAAATCTGTAAGTGTGAAATTGGTTGTTTGCATGAGTCGCACACCTGGCTCCGGCTGGCAGAGGGACGGTGAGTCTGTCGTCATCTGGGATGGTGTTCCCACAAGGGCTGCTCGTGGGAATGGAACCTGGACGGATCACAGTTATCTGCACCTCCTCCCAGTCCCGGGGCATCTGGAGTTCAGAGGGTATACATTTCTTGAAATGGTTCCCAGGTAAATAAACTAAAAAACAACCCAACTAAGACCAATGTACAGCAGGGAAAATAAGTGTCAAACACGCCAAAGTGTTTCTTGTTAAAAACATTTATAACAAAGCTATTAAAAGGAAATTCACAACAGATGTCAGTAGCAACCCAAGTAGTCCACGCATACCAAGAAATCAAAACTAAAGAAGCCAAACAATTTTGTTATTTGTTAGGGAAATAATACAGGGAATCATTTTTGAACATATGAAGACAAGAAGGCAGGATAAAGGATTGAGTTTAGAGATACATCAATAAATCCCATAGTTTTGGAAGATTGGCGATGTGCAACTGATCCAGTCTATTGTAAAATCAGCCACCACCCCATTTTGCTCCATTTGACAGAAGGCTGACTGACAAGATACGTCTGTAGGTCTGCTGTTAATAATAGTCACCCCACTGTTACAAACTTAGCAACGTTTCAGACAGAAATATCAGTATCGGCCAAAATCATAATCCACACAGCAGGCCTGTGAAAATCCCAGGCCATATTACCTGTTAACAACATTTTATAACCAAAATGTATGAATGTATTTGTTTACCGTATGTGAATTAAATGGATTTTTACCAACATATAGAGTGGATAACACATCACGAGCCCAATTTGAAAAAAAAAATGTTCATGTTTAAGTTATTTTAATTTGATTCAGCATTATAGATAGTCTAGATTCCATTCAACTTCTCATTCATAGCAGAGGAATACACAACCAAAAAAGACCTCAGATTAACATGAGTCATAATGCACACCTGGGATTCATAGCGGATGACTAAATCATATTCCATAGAGTAAGGTATGTTATTTATCAGAAACTCCAAAGTGCCGCCTTGAGGGACCTGAGCGAAGCCGATATCTGTCCACTGAGCGGGGCGACCGGACTGATGTTCCCTGGTTTCTAAGGTGCAACCCTGAGAAAATGCATCCAGAAACAAACAGATCAAATATATCAAAGTTTAAAAAGTTTCTGTTGAAAATGCTGCAAAACTCACCTGCCCCATTTGAGCAAATTCAGCCTCATAAACGAAGTGATCCAGAGCCATAAAAAAATATCCAGACTCCACCTGCGTGCAGTCGCGTCCCGTTATGTGACTGCGGCAGCGGCACTGACCACTATCCATGGAGCATCTAAAAAGAGTGCATACACAGTGGTATTTAGGACTAATGTTGCCCTACAAATCCTTATGTAGCGAACACTAACATCTTAAGGAGGTTAGGAATTAATGGATGAACATGTTGCTAAATATCATGTACAGTCATATAAAAAAATAGAATATGCATTCTGATGAAACAAGTTTATCAAATAAAAAGTATTTTTTTTAAATGGAAAGATCTAAGCAGATATTAAACATACTTTTCATTAAGTCAGTTTTTCTGTATTAGAAATAGTTTTTTAATGGTGTGGTGTAATATTCTCATTTTAAATGTCCTGTTTGTATAAGCTGAAAGTTGAAGATCCTCATAAATAACAGAAATAACATGTTTCAAACATTCATCTCTGTGTGTAATTAATTTATAAATGTATTTCACTCAGTGATAAAGTTCAATAAATTGACTTTTCAATAACACTGTAATTTATTGCCAGGCTTGGTAGCTCATCTCTTTTTGTTTAGCAGGAAACTCTAACAGCATGTAATCTTGTCATAATTCCTTCTAACAGAGGGGCAGAGCTGAACAGAAACTGTTGGAGCTATGGGACGTTCTGGCAGTGAAAAGTACAGATCAAAGTGATTAATAAGAGTTCACTGAGAACTCTTATTGTTATTTGTGCAAAAGCTGTGGGTAAACCCTTTACACAGCAATTCTAATTGATATGTAAGGGTGAAGAAATTACCTAATAAGAAACACATTGTGGAGTTCTTTTTTTAACTCTGATAAGGTCTGCGTTTACAGGCCATTAACTCTTGATTACAGTTAAAGTGTTTAAAGAGGATATTTAGACCTACTGTTAGCAAAATCTATAAAAAACAAATCTACAAAGAGAAAAAGACAAAGCTCCCTAAATCATTTAACTTACATGGAATAACATCAGGAGAGTGGGTACAAAATCGTTTAAACCGAATACACGATTCATTATTTTATTTTATAAGATTGGTTTAAATGGGACAGTTACAAGTTAACATACATTATATATAAACTATGTTGACATTTAAAAAGAGACAAACATCAGATAGAAATACTACAGTACAAATACATCATGAAAGGTTTTGCCGCTTTTCCATGAAGCTTTCTTCACTGTTGTTAACCAGGCACATGCCAGCTAACAACATGTGTGACGTGATCTGGTGGCCAGATCTGCCAGGAAAACCTCTCTCACGGCAGAGCAGAAAGGGACAGTGGCTGATTTTCAGACCTTTGCGGAGGTAGAGGACATTGGTGAATAAGATTGGTTTCACATTCAAGTATCGGCTAATGGGCGATCTGCTAAAATTAGGAAAACTGATGCAAATTCTTTGGTGCACCCTATGCTGCAGAATAATTCCAGTGAATGTAAACAAAATTCAATTTATAGAGAGAAATCAAGTTTAATTGTTGTATGTTGGAAAAAAACATATGGAAATTGTTCAGAACCTGAATGGAATCGTCAAAGATTAAATTGACATCCGAATAAATTTATGGAGCCACTCACTGGTTGTCGAGCGCCCCGCCAATATCACATTCGCAACCTCTGCATCCATTCAGGTCGTGGCTCAGCCCCCAGTGTTCAGTCTGAAGTTATATGGTGATAGAGAGAAGGCAATGATTGACAGACACAAAAAGAAGAAATAATTGAACAGCTGCAACACTTTTCCTGCAGTGAGACTTTAAGACAAACAGAGCAACAATAAGACTTTACCAGGATGTAGCGTCATATAGTAGATTTCAAGAGAAGTCTACTTTTCTTTCCGAGAACATTGTTAAAGTTTCTCTTTTTTTTTAAGAAAACAAGAATAGTTCACAATATGCAGTCACCAGATTTTCATTGTACTTTGCCAAATGATGTGAGTTTTACAAGATGATCAAATAATCACATGCTCAGTTCAGATCTGTAAGAAAAGACCATAAATCAGGTTTATCAACCAGATCCACACACCCGGAACACATCAAGGCCTGACCATTTTAAGGCCACTGAAACTCACACCAGTCGGACAAACCTTAAATCCCTTGGCTAAATTTAGACCCATGAACCAGGCAGGAGCTCAGATTCCTGCCTATGCTATTCCTGGTTGAGTAGATTCAGGACAAGGTTGAATTATAACAGGAGGCTCGTCACTGTTTAACAGCTTGGGTTGCTAGGCACACAAAAATGTCTACATGATTGTTACAGTGTCTTGAAAACATCTTCACGACCCTTAAACTTTTTCACATTTTGTCTTTTTAAAAAGCATAAATGTCAACATATTTTTCTGGAATTTTATGAAGTGAAAAGAAAAGTTTTTAAATTTGATATAAAAAAATAAAACTCTTGCAGCACATGTAAAGACTGCAAATTCTGTATGATTTTCTTTGCAAAGGAACAGGAACTTGATGGAGAGAGAGCCTGTCGTGGACTGGGGCATTTTAAATGGGTGATATCCTGAATTTTCCACACATATAGTGTTGTTTTACAACACAATCAGATATCTATGTCACCTTTAGTTGTTATTAAAATGCTGCATAAATCAAACATGGCCTAAAATAAATGTTATCCTTTAAAATTGGTTTCTGTCGCTTTTAGAAACTCCTGCTCTTTCTGGTGTTCCACCTTCAGGAAATCCCCAAAACAATAATTTTACATGAACTAATTTTCTACGCTGTTAGTAAGTAGTTTAAGAATTGCTCTTTGAGACGAATAGCTCAGCTGGACACTGCAGGTTCAAGAAGGCGCTTTGGGTAGATAGGCGACGCTTTGGGGTAGAGCCCCTGCTAAAAAGCTTCCTTCTGTGCTTTTACACACTTCATTCAACACCAACCAATTTAGCTGAATGTGCTTCTGTAGTTTACAACTTTTCAGTCTACCTATCTTAAAAAAAAGTATTAATAATAAAGGTAACAAAGGAATTATTTTTCAAAGATAAATAGGCCTACCCATAAACAAACAAAAGCATTTATCAAAAATTACATTACTTATATTATTGATGACTAACGACATCAAAATCCAAAGCCTGAAATATTTTTTTGTGTTATCTTACTAGACACTGGTCACAGAAGCGTCCAATGACAAGTCGCTTGCAGATGCAGTCTCCACTGAATGGGTCACACATGGAGCTGCCCGTCACGGTTCCTCTGGAGTCGCATCGACAAGCTTGAGGTTGAAAAAAAAATATGGGGGAGGAGAAAAAGTCATAGATCATAGATAGATGACTAGTTAAGATATTTTTTTTTACATTACTTGCAAACACAGTCTGCCTATTTTACCTTCACAGACACTTACCTTCACAAACAAAAAGCAAAAATTTCTGCCACTACAAAGACAACCAAATAAGAAAACTAAGACTGCACTCACGTTGGCACCCCACAGGGTTGTTGGCGCTTAGACCAAAGAAGCCGGTCTTGCATTTGTCGCAGCGTGGCCCTTCTACGTTAGACTTGCAACGGCACTGGCCTCCCACCATGCCGAGCGACAGGTCAGTGTGGCTGTCACACAATCCTCCATTCTCTGAGCCATCTGGGTCACAATCACAAGCTGGAAGGGTAAACGTGTCCTGGTTATTATTATTTGTCAGTCAAAACTGTAGTTTGAGAAAACCCAAAGAACTATTCTATTTTTTACATGCACTTAGTGCGTTTGCCACTGGTGGTAGTATTTTGGAGTTGCTCTGATATGTTAGTTCTGTTTCGTTCTTTCTGTAGAGTATTGTTCATAATTTGTTTGGTTTATATGTTGGATGTTTGGACAATTATTCCTTCTGGTCTTAAATGCTGTCCAGTGGGAATTATCTCTGTTCTTTCTTCTTCACTTTTGGACAGTTATTAAGATTTGTCGCCGTGGTAACAAGGTGTATTTAAAATTGATTAGCATCTCAAAAGCTCAAAACCTGAACTATCATTCTGAATCTCAGAGGAGTTGGAAAGGAGGCTTCATGAAGGCAGAACAGGACCAAAGAGCAGAGCAGGAGAAGAGGGAAGTTCAAACCAACTCATCCACTGATCATAATGGGCAAGGATTATGTGCCCAACTCTAATATCTCTCTGCCTGCCTTTCTAAAGTATACATCCAGATTTATTAACATGTCATCCTTCCAGACCGAACAGAACAAAGTGTTATACTTTGAGCTTTTGATATTCATCTGGAATGGATCATGCTGGATTTAGAGACTAGCACTCTCAGAGTTACGTTTTAGTAATGTGATGCATGCTAACCAAAACTCCTCCAATCATCTAGCTTGTTTTAAACTAATTATGAAATCCTGTTTCAAAGAAACCTTCCCTTTGCCTTTCAACACATTCCTGCTCGATTCTCATCTCCTTTCAGTGCTCAATTTGGAATTACTCCCATTGAGCTTGATGTTTCCAGTAAAATCTCAACTGGGCCAAGCTAACAGATGGAAGAGTTGTGAACAATGATGTCAAGATTCTATGCTGTTTTAGAATTGTACCCTGCCTATTGTTAGGCAAAGGAAGTGACAGAAGCCATTCAGTCTGAGTTGGCCATGCTCACAAATATTAAGCACTTAAAGTTGGAGCAAGAGAAATGTTTAAGACATTTTATTGCTGGTAAATTTGTCATTTGGCTCAGTACTTCTCTTTGCAGTTGGGGATGGTTGTTTCTAGCAATTTCTTGGAAGCTTCATAGTATATTACATGCATCATAGCCAAATGTTAGCGGTTGGGTGAAATCGAATCCAGTCGTTTCAAACTTCAACAGGCAGCATAAATGATATTCATATTCAACGATATCTTTTTATAGACCCGTTACAAAGTATTTACCATCCACACACTCACCTATGCAAACACGGGGATCTCTTATGTGCCTTGTGGGATCTTTGTAGAAGAACGGTTTGCAGATCTCACAATTTCGCCCCATTGTGTTGTGCTGGCAGTCATCACACACCCCTCCACTTATGTTTCCCGTGGCCAAATAGACCGCCATGTCAAAGTGACACTTATCTGAATGGTCGCTGCAATCACACTCTGAATGTGAAGACATATTTATTCAGACAAAACCAAGCCATAGCTCAAGAAATGTTCCCAAGATTTTAGTATGGCAGACACTATCATTTATATCTACAGTAAAGACTAACTCTTGCAAGCGTGTGTGTTGCGGCCTTCAGCTGGCCTCCAAGGCTGGTCATTGTAGAAGTCACCGCATTGCTCACAGTTCAAACCTTTTGTGTTATGGTTACACACACATCTGCCATGAACCTTGAAAGAGTTGAGATGGACCCGAGTAAAAGTAAATTCAATCAATATGGAAGGGGGGAAAAAAGCCAGTTGTAAAATGCTTGAAATGTTTTAGATGTAAATCGTCAGCACTTACCATTCCTTCTATGTCATCCCTGATGCCTTCAATGGGTGCACACTCAGAGGCATGGCCATAGCAAAAGCAGTTTCCACGTACAACAAGTTCGTATATGGCGTAGTAGTATTTCTCTTTAATTTCAGCTCTGTTGTCCACCAGGGTGTCTCCAAGTGTGTGAAGTTTGGTGAAGTTCAGTCTTAAGTTAGTGATCTTCAGTTGGTCTGAAGGAAATAATAGATTCAGAGAGTCAGAAACATCTATCATGAGACAACATTAAGATTAGAGTCGCACCAAAACTCCTGGTGCCATCCCATGTTCCGTTGCAGAGCCATTTCTGGAAAGATAGAAACCTTCACAGAGACAGCAGTGGAATTCTGTCTTTCACTCACTTATGCAACAATCTGCTCTTTGTCCTTTTGGAGAGAGAAAGCCAGAAATATTAAGTTTATCATATTTATACTCTTTCACTCTTTGAGGGAAAGGAGTGAGACTTTTTGCTGCTATAGTACAGCTGTTCAGTCCAAAAACCCACAATCTTTCTGATCTCCTTTAAACTATGTCATTTCTGATTCCACCCTCTTTTGCAGGAATGTACGGTTCCATGGTAAGACCAAAAGATGAATGTATGTTTGATGCCTGATTACAGTTTGCAATGAACAAAAGAAGCAGGACATTTGGAGACATATTGTGTCGACAAACAGGGGAACCTTGCAAGCCAGAGGACACCATGCAAACTCTGAGAGGCAAAGTCTTAAAACATCAACCAGGAGTTTAAAGATGTGAAGAAATGAGGTTTCTTACATTTTATGTGGGTTAAGGCAACAAAGTCAATGTTTTGAAGTGACCATCACAAAATACTGATCCCAGGCCCACAGAAAACTTTGAGGACTTATAAACGTTGTAGCTATATTTAGTGCCCTTTCAGACAAAAACGGGCAGGTAAGGCTTTTTAAAGATTGGCCAGAAAACCGCACCCTTTATAAAATGTAGTTCGTTTTCAATCCTCTTCTAAACTACTGAGTTTCCAAGCATTAAGAATTTGACTAAAAGATTGTTCTAGGTCTAGGATGACTCTCAATGTTAAGGACAAAAATCCTGATCTTGGATGAAACCAAAACCTCCCGTCATTCCCTTTTTGACACAGTTCTTCAATTTCAATAATAATAAAACTTCAGTCAATAAGTTAATGTAATCATCAAGCAAACTTGGCCAATTTCGAAACAAACAGGAATACTGTCCCATAAGGCCTCAACAGGACACTGACTAATTGTACCACATGCCCATAAATATGGATTTATTTGAGGTGAGGGGGTTAGAGGACTTCCTGCGTGCCACTTCCAATGAATTATTTCACAACAGAGGATGACAGGCTCGGCTGCTGTGCTGGAAATAAAGCAGGGGTTTCTGGGAACAGCTCTTAAGTCCTGCCAGTTTAAACATGAGGGCTGTGTGGGAGAGAAACAGCTGCTTTTCCCATCGCGCCATGTCTTCAACACAGCAGGAACATGTTTCACAGCCTGAAGAGACTGGCTGGCTGTCTTTCTGTAATGTGTCACAGCCGGATGACAGCAGCTATATGTGTTGGCTGGAGTTTGACTTATGGTGACAAATGGAAACACAGAAAGGAAAAGGCAAAACTCCTCAGGTCGGTTTTCTCTGTGGTCTTCCTACGTTCTGATACAACTTTAATGAAGACAATAAAGCTAACTTTTATTTAAAATATTTTACATATATACTGACACATTATTATGTTGTGACAGGCTAGTATGAGACAGATAATCTGTGAAAAAAAAAAAATTCGCACATCTCTTTGTGCGAATTAAAAACTACCAATCAGAGCCAGGAGACTTAATGGAGTCAATCAAGCAAATTTGTGAGCCATTTTCTGCCCTTGCTATCCTCTCCAAGTTTGTTGGTTGTTAGGGTTATCTTTTCACAGATTATCTGTCACATTATGAGGACTTGGAGATAGTTTAACAAATATGTAAAAACATATTTTTTTCACAAGAGTTAATTACTGCAGTTTCAAGTCAACATAATCAACACATTTTATTCTTCTAAATGTTTAAAAACCCCAAACATTGATGGCTTACAATGGTGTAAAATGGTTTGAAATGTTTGATTTAATGTAACTTATTCAATTCTAATATGTATCACATCAATTCTCAAATACAGCTATTTTATTTTATCCCATAATATAAGCAGGAAGTAGGACCTACTCTGAATGTTGGGGCTGTATGGGTCCTCAATCTTGATAGCTGGATCCAAGACTCTGTAGATTACCTAGGTCAGGAAAACACAAATTATCCCCCACAAATGACTGATAGAGCTAATTTACGCTATGCACCATGAGCCCAAATATTCACAGATCCAGATAAACATAAATGGTACATTTGATCTGAGCACAAGTGATGCTGGTTATGCTTTGATATGCTTAGGGCTCATTTAAAAACGAAACTTTTTACATGTCTTCTCCACCCAAACAGTTTAATCTGGTATGTTGCACTACTTAATAGCAGAAAAAGCAAGGGAAATAAAATGTACTATGTTTTAGGAACATAGTACTAAGTGTAAGTTCAATACCTTAAACAGAAGAACATAAGGCTTTGTGCTGAGGTAAGCAAAGAGACATGGGACAGAAAAGCAACTCCCTAATTTGTCATCAAGACATAAAGTGATTCCTTCAAGTTATGTTTTAAGAACGCAGTAATGTAATTGACAAACAATTGTATGGAGGACCAAAACTGAAAAATAAAAACAGAAATTTATAAATGACATGACATACACTTAAAGTATACAAATTAATTGAGAAATGAGAACTTTACTCCATGATTTGTCATTAAAAATATATTTTTAAGTTTAGTTCCAATTAATTATACATTTAGGAACATAAATCAGACAGAATCAGCATTCAGCTTCTATACACCACAATTCTGGAACAAACTTCATAAAGCCTGAAACACTTTGTTTCTTTGAATCAAGGATAGAACCTCACATGTTTAGAGTAGCTTTTGATTTGTTATTAGAACATTAATAAACATGCTTAATGTATATTTACTTGATAAACTTGATGATGGCAATTAACAAAATGTAATGTTTATTGTTTGTTCATAATTGTTTGCTATTTTATGTTTTTATGGTGTAAAGCACTTTGCCTGCAAGTGCCTTGTTGCTCAAATATACTTAGCAAATAGAAAAAATACAATACAATAAAATAAGCTAAACAGTTTTTAAAATAATGTTTTCAAGTTTTTCCTTTTACTTATAGATGCATTTATGTGTTAACTTCAACAAGTTGACCATTGTCCATTTTATTAGCCTTTTCCAACTGCAGAAGCAGCCTAAAACTGTTGTGAAAACTGGCATAAATTGGTAAACTTTCCAGCTTAACACAGGAAACAGATCATAAAAGCCTGGAAGACATAAGTAATCTTCTATTTTGATTTACTGATGATTATAAAAATAAGTAATCTTGTATTTTGATTTATGGATGATTATACAAAGAGTTTGATGTAATAAAAAGCAGATCGAGAAATGAATAACATAATAAAATGGTGAAGAACTCAGATGATGATTAAAAGGAGTTATGTTTGAAGAATTAAATTGATTGTTTAAGATGATTGTTTATAAGGATTTATGTTGATCATACAGCATATATAGAATTATAACTGAAGTACTCATACATTGTGTAAAGTATATTGATGTAATTCTCAGACTGTGTTATAATTAGAGCAGAGGTTCATGGCCAGTAAAGGGTCTGAGCTGAGCGTGAAGACAGGGGAACTCGAAGGTTTTCTACGAACCAGATTAAACCAGATGGTCAGTGGACAAACAACAATAAAATGAGAAGTGAACAAGGCGTTGACCGATATGGAAAGGTTTGGTACTTTCCACGAAGCCATCGAACATTCAAGAAGTCACATAAGCCATCACCCCATTCACAACTGTGGAGTGAAAAGGTATGAAAACCCATGAAAAGAGGAACAAGTGGTTCTTAGTCTCCAGTGCTAAAGTCAAGCCAACAAGAAGATGCAGACACTGAGTGATGAAGATCTGAGTGTTCGGAAGACAACAACCAGTTTTGCTTTGCTTCTATTCAGAAGAGGATTTTGCCGTACAAAGATAAGACGCTAAGCAAGAATATCAAAGCCCTCTGTTGAAGCCAAGATCATCCATCATCTGGGTATGAGTTGATCTGCACCCCAAAGCCTCGCTCAGTAAATTAGTGACACGGTATAGATGCATTAAAATTCTAATGAGATTTATGGACAGTGAAATTAATTGAGTCATCTATAGTATTTTTGGTTCTTCTAATTAGTGTAAAACCTATGAACATGTTTCTAGAAATGAGGTGGCTCCAGAAGTCTCTTCAGTGTTGGTAAAATAATGACCTTGGGGCTTATGTTGAGTCACTAAAAATTGTCTAGTCTATAACAATTGCTCGCTGTTGATAGGGAAAGAACTACAGTAAACAAGAGCAGTTATTGAAGTTATGAGGTTGTGAGGGCAACTCAGCTGACTGTTTCTTAACTGAAAAAGGTCATAACTTTTGGAATGAAGCTAAAGGCCAGATGAGCTAATTTCGACACCAGCATAGACAGATTATCTCTCCTAGACCTGTCTCAGGGTAAGACTCAAAGGTTTTAGATATTTTCCGGACCCGTTGGATGGAGAGCTGGTCAGTAGTTAGTCCATGGGAATTGTGATGTTTAGGACAGGGCTGGCTATTGCGCAGTAACAAAACTAATTTCTTAATAACCACAGCAACCAAAAATAATAGTACCCTTGGTTGATGTAAACTCAAAAGCCAAAGAAAATTAATAGAAAGGTCCAGATGTGCAAAATACTAAATACTGAACATCTGGGATTTGGGATTTTTCCCCCCCACCAATAAAGATCCAAATCCAAAATGGCTGCCGCTATCATAAACAGCCGTATTTCCAGCCTTCTCATTCACAGCAATCCAATGGATATAATCCCCTACCAATGCTACATCTACATCTGGAATATAAAGGTAATATTCACAACTGAATGTATCTAATTTACATTCCTAGGACAACCCACTGGAGGCCATGCATGGCTTCAACATGTAAACATGTTTTTAAAAGCACAAGTGGAAAACAGATGCCTTACCTCGCCCTCTGTCGATGGCTCCAGGTCAGAGTAACGTGATTCACAAATCACATCGTTGATGTTTTGCAAAGGACCCGCAGAGACTCCAGGGAAAGAAACAGCACAGTCATGAGCAAAGTAGCGATAGATCTGCCAGGTTCGACCAAAATCTGCTGATCGCTCAATAAGCATGGCAGCAGGGCGAAAAGTCTGCAAGAAAAAAAACATGCAATGCCTTTTTTCTTATAATTGAGCACTAACCCTAATTTGTTTCAGGAAAGTGAGTGAAGTACCTTGATCTTACCTTAAATGTCATAATCAGATGAGTAAAATGAAACTCTGCCTCAAGATCCAACTCAATAAAAACATTTGACTTTCCTGAGAGAAAGAAAACATTAGTAAGACAGGTAAAGCTATAACGTTTCTTCCACTCAAGTAGTTAGAAATTTAAATTGGAATGGAAATTACACTGCTTTACATCTGCATCAGACATTTCTCACTGATACAGTGAGAAACTGCATCAGATTAGTGATTAAAACTATTATAACTATTACTATTTGAATTACTAATCATAATAGCTACAAACTGTGTGAAAACAGTCTGAAAAAAGACTGGTCAGCAACTTATATCCATTAATGTTGGGTTTCTAATAGTTTTTTTATAAGGTGGTATGTATGCAGCAAATAACTTAAAAAAATTAAAGGGGCAGTATTGTGTAAATTTAGCTTTTTGATTACAGTTTGATTATAGTTATAATGTTATTCTGTCATCAAAAACAAAACTGGAGTGTTGCTTTGATTCTATCATACATATTTCACAAATCCTTTAATCTCAATGGCAACCATCCAGCTGTGCAAAACGCCTGGGTGAATCTAGCAACACCTTTAAGGTGTAGCTCTTCTTTGGAGCTGCAGTTTCCAAGCTTCTGAGCTTTCCTCCCTTTGACTCCCCCACTAAGCTCCTCAAGACTAGCCAGCAGCAATCAGTAAACACCTGGTGGAACCATGCATTAGCTGAGCTCATGATAAGAGTTTCTTTGGGATGCTGGTAAAAATGTAGCTAAAGAATTAATAGAAGAACGATGTTGTGATGACTTCCTGAAGGCGCTAAATAACAAAGTCAAATTTCTTTTAAGTCATATTTGATATGTACTGAATTTTTCTCACTGAAGGCAACACAGTTACTTGACTGTGCTATAAAATGGCACTATGTGCCTGGTAAATACATATTACTGCCCCCTTAAAAGTAGGAATCAGGGGCATTATTTAAAATGATTAGTAAGACAAGTTTGCACAAAGCTTGTTCAGTTCGTATTATAAATCTGAGTTCCCATCACTGACCCAGTTTTTAGGAACGACCCCACATTTTTAAATACGTTCTGATGTTCACATAGGATCATTTTTATGGTTCATTTATGTTTTTATTTTCTTATTTTTCTTTACTTCACCTATTAATCACACCTGATGCCAACACCATGTTGCAACAAAAAGAAGAATAGAAGCAGAAAGCAACTGAATGAGACTGAAAGGAGCACAGGAAGTGTAATCTATTTATACTACTGCTTTTCCATGACAGCTGTGTGCACACAGTGGGCTTATCTGGTATGACAGACAGAGATTTCATTGTGACGTTATAGTGAAGCACAAGAGAAAGAACTGCTAAACCATGCAAGAAAACAAGGCTTAAAATCTAAACTGCTAGAATCTAAACTGTTTACCGTTTTGGGGTTTTTTTCTGTTTGAGATCAGCAAAAATTTTTATTATTTTGTAACATGTTAGTTAAATATACTTGATGTAGGTCAAGCATAGAAACACATTTTTTATAAGGAGGCATGTCATATTGGAAACAGCATCTGCACTATTTGTAATTAATCTATTTGGTCGGGTGGATGGATTAAAAAAAACAATTCAAAGGAAAACTGTATTTTCTACAAAATCTATATAAATTGAGGGTGTGTGAGAAAGGAAAATGGTCAGCAGATTACAGGAAGAATAGAGGGAGTGCAGCAAAGCTGTTCTATTTTATCATTTCAAACTCTAAACTGGCTTTATAAATTTGATCAACTCTGCAAGCTTTTGGAAACTTAAATATGTGCATTCTGAAGGAAACACACATAGAGGTTGCTGTGTTAAGAATAGGCTAGCTAAAAAATATTGGAATAAGTTCCAATGGGGTTTGTCAAATTAAAAGTTCTTTTTGAAAAAAATAAAAATAAGCAGGTATTAAACATATTTCCCACATGTTATTTGGTGTTAAATATAAAATCAACATAATTAGCAGAAATAAAAGCTCCAATATGTCAGTCTGTATGGAATTAATAAACATGTGTTCCACTTGTGAAGTGAGTTACTGGACAAGATGAACTTTTCTATCTTCTAATTTACTGAAATGCACCTTTAAAATATCAGCTTTATAATTTAATTACAGTGGTTTTTATAAAAGAGACATTTTAACAGTGATTACTCTTAAACCATTGAATTGATTTTGGGCCACAGAATTTAAAATATTTTTTTAATACTGTTCTTATATCTTCTAATATTATCGTTTTTAAAATAATCAGAATCAACACAAGTCTGTTACAGGAGATCAAAACTTTAAAAAAATGGAGACTGAACACAAGTTTTTTCAAATATGCCCCTCTTCACTGTCTAAACAGTATCTAACTGTTTCTTAGTTACATACTAAGAAACGGTATCTTTCTAATCTAGAGGAAATATTTCCTCTAGATTAACTTTTATCTTTCCATTGGTTTTAATCTTCTTTCCTCCTTCCCTTCCTCTGATGAGATGCCACAGCTGGGCCTGCTCTGTTATTAGGGTGAGCTGAAGCTCCAGGGAGGATGTTGGCCACAGTGTCTTCATGTGGAACCGTTCTCTAAAGCAACACGTTGCTTCGGATTTGTGGTTGTAAAATAAAGTTTCATCATCTTTCCCCCCAACCATTTTTATCCATTCTTATATTTAACCTCTGGTACCCAAACGTAGCCACAAAATCAACTTCATTTACCACTCCCTGTGTAATTTACAAGGATTGGTTAAAACACAAAACACAAGCATCCATTGACCGTTTTCTGACTGCCACCAGGACTTTTTCCGATGCGGTTTGAAGGTGGTGATAACATTCTCTATCCGGTGATTAATAGTGTTGTAGACAGGGTCGTATGGTCGTCTGGAATCACACTCAAAACATTTCTTCTCATCCTGTGGCAGGATAGGATAGCATCAAATATAGTGACAAGAAGAGAGGGAGTTCAGGGATTGAATAGAAACAAACAAAAGTAAAAAGATCCTATAGGCAATGTCATAAATACTCACCTGCAAGTGACTGACAATGCAATACCGCTCCTTCTTTCTCATGCCACAAGTGGATGAGGCCTTCAAGTTTTTTTCCCTTCCAACCAACAAGTCCCCAGTTGCTGGATAACAGCTGCCATGGGCACAGCCATGGGCTTGGTCTGGTTCCTGGCCAACTGTGGCAACCAGGCCTGGAGGGATAGAAACCAGCCATGGATCAAAAAAAGGAAGGAGACAGTACTGGTGTCATTTGAAAATTTATGAAATTCATGAGCTGGCAAATAAAGTACACCTAATGAGTGTTCTCCTTTCCACTCCAGTGAGGTGAAACCTCAGCAGACCAGAGTTGGTAGGCAGACTCTACAAAGGCAGAGTCTTTGTAGAGTCTGCCTGGTTGAACCAATGCAGTTCAACCAATTTGAACCGCATTGGTTGATGTGAACTCCATTGCGGTTCAAATGCCTGTATGGAGGCTTTCCCCCAGAGTATTATAACCCTGACAGGCCATCAGGTTTTACTTGCACTCCCACCAGGCAAAGCATTTTTTGTTTATTTACTTTATAAAGAAAAGATGGGTTAAGAAATCTATTTGATGAAATGGTTGGAAATGCAATGGAAATGCAAAAACAAAATTAATCAGCTGAGTCCAACATTGACAAGGTATTTAAGACTCTGAACGTGAAAAAGAACACTTGAGAAGTCTTTTTGGAACATAGTCACGAATAGGAATGTACAATATGGCATAAAATTTAGTAATGATATACCACAGCAACTAATATTATATTGATATTATACTAAGTATAAAAATTACAATAGAAGAGGGTAAAAAAAAATCACATATTAATTGAGTGGAATGTATGCACGATGAGTAAAATCTTATTTTGTTTTTGTGGATGTTATTTGTTTGTAACTTTAGTTTTATTTTGTTGTAAAGATAGGCAGGAGCATAATTTCAATAATGACTTCCTGGATAAATCAAAGTTAAATAAATAAGTGAAAAATATATCTATACAGAAAGACAATAAATTTAATGTAATGATATCTGTGTTGATTCCTGCTGTTTCTCCTAAGGGTTCTGACTGAAACTAATAGTCAGCTGCATTGCTGGTATTTAAGTACATGTTTTGTTTTAAGGTGCTAAAACAAATTGCTTGTGTTTCCTCTTTATATCCTCCTGCAGTCTTAAAAGACAGGGTAACTTTTTTTACTCTGTGTGCAGTCCTGCGGGTTCCACTGTGCACTTTTACAAGTTTGGTTATTTTTATTTTTGATTTTTGTGTGTGTGTGTGGTTGTGGAAAGTCCATCAGACCGTCACCCTGTCCCACAGCGCTTTCTCACTCTGACCATGACATTTGCCTTGCTCCTCCTGAACATTGCATTAAGATGATGAAAGTGGTAAGAAACAGGGTCCACTGGACTCAGCTTTTTATGGACATAAAATAAGAAAACATGTCAGGGGTTCAACTGACATTTTTATGTTGTTGCTTTTTCCTTATTGACCACCAGGTTCTACCACTTAATGAAGTAAGCCAGAATGCCTAAATCAAAACCCGCCACTGTCTACACTTTGACAACTACTGTCTCATAAATGTGAGACAACATCCACTACTATCTATCAGTTTGATAACCACTATTATCTGGGGTTATCAAACTGAGCTCACAGACATGACATGGATTTAGCCCAGTTACCAGCTAAATCCAGAAATATACCAAAGCATATCAAAGTGAGATAATATAAGTCCAGTAAATTTGGCCATGACATATCATACTGTAACAGAAACACCAGGAATGATATCAGTGTTGAACCAAAGTGATGGGAGTCCCACTGGAGCCATGGTGTGACGACATAGTCGGGCTATGTGTGGGAGTTAAAATAAACCTTATAAATTTTCATGACAACCAGCAGCAGCTGTCACACATTCAAATATATATCCAATTGAAATATATCCATTGTTTATATATTAGGATATATAAATATTAATATATAAATATATACACACTATGGATATAAATCTGAATGTATCCTCCTGTAGGTCTGTGTGTGTGTGTGAGAGAGAGTTAATTAGCATAATTAGAAGTCAATCTAGAGATTTTTCCAGAGCAGGTGTCTCTTATCTTAGCTCTGGCAAAAATAAAATGTAAGCTTCTGCTATGCAAACGATTTGACTCTGAAACATATTTGACAATCTTAATACAATGAGATCTCCTCTGAAAGTGCCTGAAAGGTTTGAGAAGAAATACTTCAAAGCACACTTCTACTTTATTTTCACCAAAATGGCAACATTTCTAGCCACAAAAAAGGGGATGGGACTTTATGTGATAGACCAACACAAAGAATGTTTGCGAAGTAGAAATAAATGAATACATGGTTTTCAAAAAGGCTTTACAAATAAAAATCTGACAGTTTTTATATTTGTGTTCAAGTTTATCATGTTGAAATTTTTTTACCCACTTTTGAAAACCTTTTGTCCTTCCTTGACCAGGTTTGGTTCTTTACATTCACCGAGCAAAATATTAAAGCCTCTTATGGAACAAAGGATTTCTCAACCAATCTTATTTAATAGAAACTCCGTAATTTCAAAATAGTGTTTTTTCAACATCAGTGAAAAGTAGACATTTGCATACATTTGTAATGGAAATGTGGCCAGTGTCTGGATGTTTTCTGCAGATCTATGCTCTCTGATTAAAACACAGTAGAACACTGACTTCCACAGCTTGGCAGTGCAAAGCAGCCAGCTGCAGATACAAAGCCTGCTGAGAACAGTGCAGAGGAGGATTTCACATCCACTCACACAAACACCCTTCAACAATCCCGACACACACTTTGCAACAAGCTAAGTCTCAATCGGGGCCAGGCAGATGAAGGTAGCTCACACCGCTGCCCACCTGTGCATCTATGCAAACACACATGCTCCACTTCTGCTCAAAGGCACGCTCATTCCTAATTACAGCGTAACCACTGATGCTCCCTCATCTTACTCAATGCAAACATCAGGCTTCTGCTAGCTGACTCCACAAAAGATGCCTATTAGTGGTTATGTACAAGACAACAACCAAAGCTGCCAACATTTTTTATTATTATAAGCAAATACTACAGCAAGCCAAATGGTCCACGTAAAATAGATTGTTCCTCCTGTCTTATCTGTCAGTGTGTGAGAAAAAGAGTGGGAATCACCAGTAGAACAGGGCAGATGCCTGAGAGAGAACAGAGCTTCCCCTCCAGACAAAGGGCTGATCCATCCAGACACAACATCAAATCTGTCCTGGATACTGCTGGCCGGCACTCAAAGGTTTAGGCCCGAGTGTGTGTGCGTGTGTGTGTATGAGAGAGAAAGAAGTAGGCAGGTTGGGGATAGAAGCAGATATTTTATGTTTGTGTAATGACCATGTTTTTCATTGTCTTCTTATCTGGGCAACTTTTTCTTTTTGTCTTCAGACTTCTAAACATGAGCCGTGACCTGAACTGCACGTATGCAGAAAACGTCTTTCCTTCAACTGTATCATTATAATAATAAAGCAAGACATTTTAAGCCAAGTTGGATTCTGACAATTACATTTATAAAGCAGGGACAAATAGAAGAAGCCAAAGGTTTACATACACTGCATAACAAGACATGTGACTTTTCTTTTATTCTAAGAGACATGCTTGACTTCATCCACCTTGAATAAAAAACAACACAGTTCCATCTAAAACGCAAAATCCATATTTCTATTTGGGTAAAGTGGGGATGCGAACATATAAATTAATTAAATTGTGTGGAGAATCTGAGAAGTCACACAGAGCCGCTCTGGAGTTGCTAATGGAAAATGAATCTGGCTGGACCGGGACAGCACCGGTTAGAAGGGGTCTAGTGGAAAAGCAACTTTAGAGTCTGAAAGTAACAAAATGGGCTGCAGGCAGTGCTGGTCTCAACCCCAGTGCTCACTTGTGGGATCAACTAGAGAATGTTGTTCATGGTAGAGTGACCGAAACAGCCACATTAGCTCACTTGCAATAAATGCTTGTTGAGAAATGAGATTTCATTCCACAGCAGTGTGTGACCAAGCTGACCAGGCCATACTGAGGTTGTGTAAATATCCCCCAAGCAGTAATAATGCCTCCATTTGTTAAATGAAAAAAAATATATGACTTACTAGTATGTTTTTGTTATTCAAACTTCAATCACCGAATAAAAAAAAAATCAATGAGACATAACAAGAGTCCAATCCTGGTACTTCCAGCAAATTGTGATTGTCCTTGAGTTTTTGTCTGATCAGAAGTGATTTCTTTCCTTATTTTTACCTCCACTCAAACCCAGCTGCTGCATTTCCTTAGCAAGTTTTACACTGTAGCCAAATCCATCAGTTGAATCTGTCAAAGGAGCTAGTTCAAAGCAGAATTGCATGGAATTTCCTTTCCACGCAATTCTGCTTGATTCTCATCTCCCTTCACTGCTCCATCTAGGCTTTCTCCCATTAAACGTAATTTTTAAAATTTCAGCTGGGCCAGTCATGGAACAAAAGGAAAAGTTGAGAACTATAATGTTTTTCTGCCTGCACTTTTAGCAATGGCAGCAGAGGAAGTGAACAAAGCAGTTCACTCTGTGTTGGACGCGCTTCCAAATATTAAAAGTTATATTAATTGCTGCCTCGTTCAGCTTGGTATTTCTCTCTTTTGCAGTGGAGGATGGTTTACAGTGAAGGCAATTATTGGTAATGTTCATAGAGTCAAACTTACAGACATCGTAGACAAACATTAGTGACTGGGTAAAATCTAAATCTTCAATAGAGTCCACGCATCCAGCAACCAATTGTTTCTCACTAGCTGAGGATCCAGGCTCTCTGTATGAAGCAAAGCATAAAACAAAGGACTGTTTTTTTACCACGGTGGGTCTTGGCACCTGCGATCAGGGAAACCCCACTTCCTTGAGATTCTGTGGAAATTTTTGTGATGTAAAGCATTGGTAACAGCAATATTTTCCTTGAAGGTAGTTGTCAAAAGAATGATGTCAAGTATCACTCTTTTTTAAAGCAATCATTTAATCATAACTGTATAAGAATGACAGTAACATCTGCTGTCGTGACCTTGTTTTCCATGAGCTAATATAAGATCCACTAATATTACAGGTCTCTTTGTGGTACTGTTTAAACAATGCAAATCTTTGTTTAATTTCAGAACTAACTTCATTTCCCGAAAAGGATAGATTTATACATCACCATATAACAACTGAGGTAACAAAGTTTGTGACAAAAAAAACCAAACCTGATTTTTGTAAGTCTCAAATTGTGGCGTTAATGTAATTTCTCTGTCCATTTTGAATAAAACAAAGAAATGTTCTAGCTTTGGAGCAGAAGGGAGAGAGATGCAACATCCATGTGCCAGATTCCTCTGAGACAGGCAGGCAGGGCCAAGTTTGGTTTCACATTTACCAGGTAATGCATCACAGGAAGCAAAGACTAACAGGCCAACAATAAGACTAGCATTAGCACCTAAACACACAGATACAAAAGGAGGGATACGAAGAAGAAGAATATAGGGCAAACATGGACATCATCAGGAGAGTGTTTAGTTCCAGGTTCATTTTAAGAAATGCAATGAGCTGACCACCTGACTAAGATGGATCTTGAACTCAAAGGGAGTAAAAATATCAGAAATTGCATTCAAGCTCCTATTTTAAGACCCCAGCAGAAAAAGTCATTTTTTTAACCTTCTCCCAGCTAATTAGTTTACCTTCTCCCTCTCATGGTCTCTGGTCTCTTTGCTCTGCACTTAGCTGATGCATGGCTGACTCCCACACCCCAAAAGCCAGCTGTTCTTCTCCCTGTACACCTTTTTATTACTCTCAGCCCTTGACTCCCGTCTTTCTTTTCTTCTAATAACCACTGAATCTCCCCCGGCCTACTCTGCCCTTGTGTTCACCTTCCTCACTACTGCCATCCTCCCTAAATCAGACGCTAACGCCCTTTTGATTAAAAAGGGGGGCACCAAGGGGGTAACAACTCATTTTAGAAAATAAAGTTTTTCAAAGATGGAAGCATTAAAAAAGGTGAGTAATGTTTTCGGCAAAGGCACAAAACAAACAAGCCTTGTACAGTTTGAGAACTAATTTTTACTTGTAAAATGCTTTTGGATACTTTTTTGCAGTATCCAACAATCCTTTTTTGCAGGGGAAAACTTTAACTTTCGTGAACTTTAGTGAAAACTAATACAGAGCAAAGGATAATCCATGTTTGCTCTTAAGCAGAATTAAACTAAGGCATCATCACACAGATGCAACATGATAAGATAATAAGATATCTTATGCGACTCATGTCCAACTTTTTTATGGCAGTGTGAACAGCTCATTTCCTATCGTTGCATACCAAAAATAAAAAATCTGATTTGTGACGCTTCAATATGTGTTGCTGAATTGGATACGTACAATTTTCAAAGCGTCTGCAGCCAAAATGGTCATGTCACATTTTATCCTACTTTTATGCCATCGGCGTGAGACGTGCATCATAATTTTGCACCAAATGAAACACTATTAGTTGTGCTTTCTTTTTCAAGTGTGCTGCTTGATAGCACCAAAGTTAACAATATGTTTAAGTTTAGATGATTATTATGATTCAATGTAACATTTTATCCCACTTATCTCTACATTTTTAGTAAGAGTTGTTTGAAATAATTAAATCAGCTAAAATGATGGGAGAACAACTAACTATCTGTTAGTGTCCTCTACTCCACAAAGCTCAGTGATAAAACACATTTTTACTGCAGTTAAAGGACTTATGACCAACTTTACAGAACTACACAAAAAAAATGAAAGTTTCCCTTGAACATCCTAGGTGGAGTTTGAAGTTGATTTGCATTTCATTCAGGAGAGTCTGCACTGAATCTTAGCACCAGAACAGGCCTAAAGAATCAAGCAATTCTGATTTGACTCTTTTAGTTACAAGATTAAAGGTCTGCTAACTATTACTTGAGAGCACAGGACATCACAACTGAGAAAAGCAAGCTGATCCTCCCTCAATGTGTCAGCTGAAACTATGCAGCAATCTGTATTATACAAAGTGTCAAAAATTATAAACCCCATTAACTATGACTGACTGTCTGCCTTCTGGTCAAACCGACAGTATCACTGACTAAAAACCAGACGTTTCCTATTACACTAATTTTTAAGATAACAAGGCTTGGCTCTGGGAAGGAACTAGTTGCATTGGAAGACACTTCCACATTCCTGCCTGACCCTGGAAATGTCTGACTCACTTCACAGTGGATAAGTAATATGGAGTGAGACACTGACAGCAACAGGTGGTCAAAGTGAAGCCAGTTATGTTTGGCATTGCTTGAACGAACTGTATAGGGAACCTAAAGGACAATAGGTGCCCGTGCTGCCGACTTATAATTACCAATCACTCAGATTTCATGTGAAACAGGTTTTCTAAAGATATACTGATGATAGAGGTTAAATGGCAGCAAGGCTGATTGTGGGTATGTGGGGATACACATGGCCAACAGATGTGTCCTGAGGTCAGACAGCCTGTCCAAAGAAAGCAAGTTGCTGGCGACGTGGTTAGTAACCCTGGTGCTGTGTGTTTGCCCCGGCGCTCAACAGCTGCTCAGGGAGTCCGAGACCTCTGATGGGAGTACTGCTGTAGCTACTAATCAGAACCACTGATAAAGAAGGTCTGCCTACACTTAGAGGAAACCACAGCACACACAAGCCTGAGAAATGGCATGTGCACAGCGTCCTAGATGCCCTTTTTAAAGAATTTATGCAACGGTTGAATGCATTTAACTACAAACAATTATGGATGTGTATTTCTGATTTCGTCTGTCTTCCTGTGTGTATGTAGAACTATGTGTGCAGGATAATTGTTGTGTTGCATTTAGCTGTTAAATGATAAATTTGTCACATCTGTATAATGAAGCACTTTCCTCCTTTCTCCAGCACGAGCAGCGTGCTGACCCAGAGGTCAGCACACTTGGAAATGATTGAGAGTACACCAGGGAGTACTATGGGAAGTGATTTTTTTTAACAAAAGATTTGAACTGGTTATGACCCTGTGTGTACCCTGAGAGAAGAGAATTGTTTCTGATTTCCCTTCATGTATCTATTAAAGTCTAGACAGGTTACTGGCTGGAAGAATGCACTGAGTAGTGTTCTAAGAATGAACAAGAATTGTCTCAGTGTAACAACAAAGCTGCTTCATTTAGGAGCTTAAAACATTGAGACAAGAAAGGAGACATAAAGTTGCAGTCGACTACTTAATTAAAGTCAAGAGTGAAGAATGGGAGCTGCAACAATTTCTCTGCAACAGTTGTTGGATCAGCAGAAAAATGTGCATGACATAATCTAGTTTTTTAGACATCATTGTAAAAAAATAAATAAATAAAAAAAAGGGTACACAAATTGTATTTGCACTGCTACCTGGATTTAAGCATGAAATAATCATAGACAGTACAACAAAAACAGCTGAATGTACAAACTACACATTTAGCTTCAAATTAAACATCTGGTTTGCAGCTGTATGTTTTGTTTAGAGCAAAGATAGCTAAATATTTAGCTTCAAACTAAATATTTTCTTAAAAATAAAAGGAACACTGACTGGCTAATATTTAAAGGTTTGAGAAAATGGAGCAGTGAAACAAATGTACAAATGAAAAGCTCTGCCTTCCTATCTGTTACTACAGTTTTCACTATCAAAAAAAGTAAGCCTATTCAAGACAGCTATGGCGAGAGTAACTCTAAACTGTAGTTTTCTATTGACCTATAATTGGTACATTTTTTCCAATAACTCTGGTATAAGGACTTTCTCTTTAAAGCAGAGTACCTGTTCTGGTGTACACTGGCGACTACAGTCCAGTTTAACACTGCGCCAGCCTTTCCATTGTTTTTAGAGACCAGCTCCCTTCATCCTGCCCCCATCAGTCCTCCTCCTCTGCCTTTTTATCTCCACCTCCTGTTTTAATCCAGAAAAGCCCCTGTCAACAGGACGGAGAAACCTAACTCACCGTTCTTTCATATACCAGATCCTTTCTTCTTTCTCCAAAGTCCGTTTCTTTTTTTCCTCTTTGTCCTGACTATACAACCACTTCTACTCCCCCCCTTTCTATGTTTTTCACCATCTCTCTCTCCCTCCCTCTGCCTCTCTATTTGTTTCTAGTGTTGCAAGCTACTAGGCTTTGCCGAACCATTGTTCTGGTATCCGCACATTTCCGGAGGCTGACGCTTGCAAAGGAGTCAAGCTCCCGCTGCCTATCCCTCTCTTACCTGGCCACACACACATTTCTAAGAAGGCTGTCTGGCGTAAAGAAAAAGAACAATCCTAAACACACAGTTGCAGATATGTACCTGAAAGGGAGGTAGTAAACTGAGCAGGCACTTTAGGTTAGAAAGCAAACCCATTGAATGAAGCATAACCAAGAAAAAGCAATGCTGTTAAGGTTACTGTTGACATAAAAAAAAGCTTTATGTTTAGGTCCCATTCATGAAAACTTCTTTTCAGTGAAATTTTTACCTCTCAGAGAGACACAGAAAAAGGCGAAAAAGAAAAGAGAAGCATGGCTGAATTATTTTTCATTGTTGTCAGGCTCGGCCTCTTCATCCTCTGAGTGTTTCTCCTCTTTCGTCAAACACACACACGCACACACACACACACACTGGGGTGCACCAGAGGTCCTAAAAAAGAAACATCTGCAATCTTATCTGTGTTCAGAAAGACACAGCAGCCAACCGGGTGGGAGCGTGGGATCTGTCAGAACTTTTATATATCTTTTAGGAATAACAGGTGAGGACAATGAGACATGACTGAGAAATGAATGAAACTGAAACAGAAGTTAGGCTTTCCACACAACTTCAGAAGATCACGCTGGAATACCTCTCAGATGAGCAAAGCAGCAACATTAAGGCTTATATCATCTCTAATTTGACATATATGCTCCATATTTTCCAGAGACTAATCAAAGAAAACCCCGTGACGTGGAGATCCCGTTGACTGGATCACTTCTGAGGATTTGTTCTGCAGCAGAGACCCACTTCAAAGCTGTGTGAACAGTCTACTTACCGCAGAGGAGCATTAACAGCGCGGCTTGCATCTCTGAGCGCTCATCCACCCGGGCTGCCTGCCTGCTGCCTGCTGCCTGCCTGGGAAAGGCAACAATTTGGGTTCAAGTCAATGAATATCACCGCTATAGGAGAGATTTAATGGTTTACATGACACATTTGTTTATTTACTCAAGAACATCACTTTATGAAGGAGTTTGGCTTCTGTTGCCTTTCTTTAATGAACTCTAAATGTCACAGGGAGACATTCTTTTAATTTTGTGTCTTTTTTTTTTTATTTGTCCAGCTCAAACTTTGGAGACTCGGTGTTTGTAAGAACTCACTTCTTCCATAATCGCTCCATTTACAACAAATGAGCAAGAGACTGTGTACAATATGTCTCTAAATATTAGCGAACACAAAGGTGAACGTGAACTCACCGTGTTTGTCCGGTTTCAGACGTTCGCAGTTCTGTTTCTCCTCCGTCCACTTGTTGCGGAGCTCCGTGGTGAGGGAGCCCTCAGCTCCTGCGCCTCTCTGTTGGAAACCCCGGAGCTGGACTCTCGCGGAGCGGAGCGGAGTGGAATGGCCAGGTAGTAAGGGAGGTCCTATGGGTGAAGGGGGTGTTAGAAAATGACTCGAAGGAAGACACAATGAGAGCAGGGCTATATGGCAAGCCGTTTTAACATAAATTCGCTTTGCCATTTCAGATATCTCAAATTGTTTTGTGACTAGACGTTTTAGCGATTTAAGATATCTCTAATTACATTGTGATTTGTCAAAATGACATCAGATTTCCCACTGGGTTTTATGGAGACTTCAATTCAAGATGTCTTCAATGGATTACTGACTATCTGAAATACACATTGCAGATATCTACAATTCAATTATGACTAGTCATAAAGCAAATTTAACCCTCAGGCTCAAATTACATGCAAAGACTGGCTAAGTTGTTGCAAATCTGCAACACCTGCATGGAGAGGGTTAAGATATCTCGATTTTAGTTTTGACTGGTCATAATTCTAACTAAAGATAGCTCGAATGACAAAATGATTCAAGATATCTTAAATTTAATTTTGGATAGTAGTTTTGACAAGTGAAAACTAAATTATAGATATCTTAAAAGCAAATAATCACAAGACAAATCTAAATAAATAAGAGATGTCTTGAATTACACAGCTTTTCTATCTAAGATATTTTAAATTAATATTCTGACTGTCAGAATGACATCACTGATATCTTGAATATGTGTTCTGTATAGTCAAAACGTCCCTGACTTACGTGGCAATTTCAAAGTTTAATGAAACAATGAAAAGTAGAAAAAACTTAAAAAGATGTTTGAAAATGCACAACTTTCATGTTGAAAATGCTTTGACAATAGCAATTTTAGCTCTTTCAATGCTGTTTTTAAGTGCATTCTGTTTAAATGAACAGGAAATTATTTTCAGATTTGAAAATCAGTTTTATAATTGTTGAAGTTATTCATTCTTCGCATATCCAACATTGCCAAGCTCTTCCTACGTTGTGGCATTTACTGACAATTTTGTGCAGGAAACATAAAATTCTGCAGGCAACTGTTTGGACAGCACATGAGGACTTCCGCGCAAGACACAGTGAGTGGACTTGGGGTTAAGTCAGTTCTTTCAGTAAGTCAATAAAAGTAATTCAGAAGTCCAGTGAGATAGCCAGGTCAGGGATAAAGTCGTGGAGCAGTTTGAAGTAGTTTTAGTTTGTAAATCAGTGTCCCAAACTATGAATATCAGATGGAGTACTGATCAGTTTATTATCTGAAAATGAAGAGTATGGTACCACTGAAAAACTAGCAAGGCAACCTTTTAACCTAATGGGATGTGCAGGTAAAATATCATTTGTGTAAACGACCAAAAGGCCCATCAGAATTAAGAGAACTCTTCAGATAACTCTTAATATATTTTACAAGTAAATATGTTACTTGGAAATGTGACTTTAACATATTTACGAGTCGTAAGGGTCCAAAGTCTATACCTAAATCCAACAAAAGGTTTGGCTGAATTTAATGTTTTACTAAGCCAAACACAAACTTTCTGAAGCATAGAAGTAGCTAGTTTTTTTTTTATTATTTGTTTGTTTGCGGGATTTTAAAGTGTAAAAGTGGGATTCCATTCTAATGCTCAGACAACAGCCCTCAAATGTCTCCAACAACGTTTAATGAACGTTTAGTGAACGTCTGCAGACAACGTTCACCCAATGTAAAAATAAAACCTCATAAAAAGTCCCGCAAACATCGAGCTAACGTCCAGCTAATGTTCACCAAACTTCCATAGACAATTTCTATGTAATAGAGCTTCATTTTGACATTTGGCAAAATGAGCATTGTATGCAAATGTTCACTAAATGTGTCCCATTTGAACCAACGGGATTTTTTTTTTTTTTTTAATAATAGGCATCCATCAGTCATTTCGAAGACTGTGAAATTCCAGCAAACAAAAGTGAGAGTGATCAGCCACAAATGGAGTACGCATGGATAACTTGCATTACTGGCCAACCAACATTACTCCAAGAGTGCTTCAAAAAGTCATCCGGAAGAACTTGGAACAACGTCACTGTTAATTAAATCAACAGTGATATGAGTGGGAGAGCTCCAAGATAAAAGCCACTGCTGATTAAAAAGAGCACAAAGGTCCAGCACTGAGAACATGTTTTGCAAATTGATGCAATGAAGTAGAAACATCTGGGAAGGTTTATTCTCTGCACCACCTTCTAAAACTAACAGAATTTAAGAAAAAATGTCATACCATTATCATACCATGATGACTAATGCCATTACCATTAGTAAAGCAAGTGATGGTCAGGGGTACCTTGCTACTGAAGGGCCAGGACAATTTGTTAAAAATGATGGAACCATAAATTTTGCTCTCCAGCAGAAGAATATGACGTCCATCCATCCATCCATTGTCCGGTCACCCTTCTCCCTAACGGGGTCAGGAGGTGCTGGTGCCTATCTCCAGCTGCGTTCCAAGCGAGAGGCGGGGTACACCCTGGACAGGTCGCCAGTCTGTCGCAGGGCAACACAGAGACAAACAACCATGCACACACACCTAGGGAGAATTTGGAAAGACCAATTAACCTGACAGTCATGTTTTTGGACTGTGGGAGGAAGCCGGAGAACCCAGAGAGAACCCACGGATGCACAGGGAGAACATGCAAACTCCGTACAGAAAGACCCCGGGCAGGGAATCGAACCCAGGACCTTCTTGCTGCAAGGCAACAGTGCTACCAACTGCGCCACTGTGCAGCCCAGAATATGATGTAATATCTGGAAATATGTTCATGACCTTAAATTAAAGCTTATTTGGGTTCGTCAGCAGACGAGTGATCCACTCGTCTGCTTCAAACTCGTCTGCTTCAAAAATTACACTTGTAATTTTTGAAGTGGCCTTGTCAAAGTCTGGTCTTATATGATGAAGTTCTTTTGGCAATGTGGATGAGATGAACAAACCTCTGCAGAGCAGTGGCCCATAATTCCTCTGCAGTCATGTACCAGACTCATCACACAAAACACGACAAATATGTCAGGCAGGAAATATTTTCTTAGTATTATAGAATGGTCAGTCCTGACGACTAGGGAAATATTTACAAAAGGATCAGGCAACCTATGTGGAAAATGAATTCATTTTGGTTGTGATTTCTTTTGCTATAAAGCCCCATCACATGTTTTCCAGTCATCCAGTGTGTGTGTCCAGGAGCAGGAATGCGCGCTCCCTGCTGGATGGATTAAATTCCCTCTGATTGTTCTCAATGAGCAAACCACGAGCACGCTCAGGTCTCAGATGCTCCGTTTGGCCTCTCACTCTGAACCGTAGGCCGGTCTTTCAGGTGGATGACATGAGTTGTATTAAAGAAAGATGAGACAGCTTTCTCTCTCTTATATCTGTTGCTACAGAGAACGGAAACCCTCTGCACTTGTTGGCCCCCTGCATTTTTTCTTTCTCTAAATCAGAATTTGCAGAAGTTAAATAGAACCACTTGTGATGTCAGAATTGAAAAGTTAAAGGACTGGGTTGGTAACAAACCTCGACTTTCACAAACTATTTTTAACTTAAAAATCTTCTAAGTAAAAATAAACACTTAAATTGCATTTTCCTTTTTTATAGCTTTTTGATATGTACACATTAAAGTTCAAGTCCTGTTCAACTACTGTTCGTCACCATGTCGGTATTTGGAAAAATGTTTTTTTAACAATGTGGTAGCTAACTTTTGATTCAAATGTTTGAGGACACACATGATTCTGCAGCCTTTACAGAGAGTTGTAGCTCTAACAAGTGCAGGTGTTTGAGCTTAAAAACAAAGCCCTCTGTCATGTTACACATTCCCTGTACAGCTCGAGGACAGCCTCTCTTTGTTAAAACTTAGAGAGAAAAGCACAGAGTGAGAATAATAAGGCAATGAACCAGGTGACGAGTGAGAAGCTACGTCTGCTTCAAGGCTGCCTCTGTCAGTTTAAAAAAAAAAAAACAAGCAGAGGTCAATGTCAGTAATTAGCTCCAAGTTTTCTTGTTGCTGCACTCACCCACACACACCTACACACACACACACACAAACACACACACACACACACACACACACACACACACACGCACACACACACGCACACGCACCCACACACACACACACACACACGCACACACACACGCACACACACACCCACACACACACACACACACACACACACACACACACACACACACACACACACCCCCGCACACACACACACACACACACGTTTGCTTATCGTAGAAGCTGAATAAGTCCAAAACTTCTGGGGAAAAGATACACATTCTAACCAACTCCCAGTCCACTTGATATCTCAGTTACTTTTCATAAAGAGCAAAACTTACATGAAATAAAAAGCTGACTGGAGGAAGGAAAACATACCAAGTCGAAAAGTATAACAGAATGCTCAGGCGAAAAGATACAAAATGATGTGAAATAAAAACCAAAATCGGAAAACTTGTGGGAATAAAAAAAGCAAAAGAAATAAAGACAAAATAAATACATTAAAAAAATAACAGAAAATACCCATTCAAATATCAAACATTACCCACAATGGCAAAGATTCAGTGTTACGTAACACACACCAGGGATTGTGGAGCCTTACAAAATCCCAAAACGCATCTATTGATAAGCAGCAGATCAGCATCATGGATGTTCAGCAGTGGCTGCCATCCTGGCTCCTCAGTTCATCAGAAAACATGAAGAGAGGAATCAAACAGTCTGTTTTTGGAACAAAATAAGTCATACAGAAGCACTGAGGAATTCACATTGTGTTCACAAACATCAGGCAAATTGTGTATTGACAATTACCGTTTATTATTAACAATTACTGCCATTTTCAGAATATCAACAACCCACCGACTTGAATTTCTGAAAAGGTAAAAGTAGGATTAAGTTCTTCACCACCGATTCAAAAGGAGGAAGAAATACTTCTTCATTGATTCAATAATCAATTAATCAAACATGTCTATGTATGATGCTGTAATTATTGTGAAGGATTTTGGCCACCTGAGGCTGTCTTATATGTGC